ATACCAAGTAGGTTATTCCCATACTCTAAAAGTTGATAGTAAAAGATAGTCTCTACTCTTTGAAGGATTCCAGACAAGGGGAAATAAGCACATAAATAGATAACTTTAGTGAGAATAAAAGTGTGATGTTACGGGGTATGAATGCTTCTGGAAGTGTGGCTAAGAGTTTGCTTAGCACAGTAGGGCAAAGCACTGTAGGTACTATCTTGTGTAATGGCATAGTGACGTGCAGTTGCATGGAATATTTGAGGAATAACAAACATTGTGGCTTGGCATGTAAATCATTAGGGAAACTGAAATCTTTTAAGGAATACAGAAAGTTTTTTTTATTTTTTGACAGTACTGGGGTTTAAACTCAGGGCTTCACACTTGCTAAGCAGGTAGTCTGCTGCTTGAGCCACACCTCCAGCCTGTGAAGTCTTTTGAGATGAGATTAGGGAAAAGAAGATAAACTTCTAAAGACTTGTGAACATCCTGCATGCCTCCACAGATAGGATCTTAGATTTATGGTAGAAGTCACTGGGAGGAACAATTGTATTTCTACCTAGTATTAATTGTATAATTTTCTTTTTCTTTTTTTGGGGGGGGGTGGAGGGTGGGGAGGTATTGGGAGTTGAATTCAGGGCCTCGTGCTTGCTAGGCAGGCACTCTACCACTTGAACCACTCCTCCAGCCAGATGATTTTGTTTTCTATTGTGAGAATTTTCTATTGTGAGGATAGTGCTATGCTTAAAATAATAAAGGCCTGTAATTTCCAAGTTATACTTCTTGAATTTTTCATTTACAAACGTTTTAATGGGTTCACATAAATCAGACTAACTTCAGTATTTTCAGTCTGTTTCATTCCCAGTTTTTGAAAGTTAATCAGAGAGAATTATGGTGTTCTTGAACATATACTAAGAAATGTTTCTAAAATTCAGTAGACTATGGTTTTGAAAAATATGTAAAACATAATCATTTACTTTCATGTGAGAAAACATTGTAAGTTCTCAGACTTCAGCTTATGTAGTAAAGAGTGTCATCAGTCATGTAATTAGTAGAATTATTTACTTTCATTTTAATGACAGTTTATTACAGTTGTTTCTTGCAGACAATAATAGAAACAGTGGGTCAATCTGGAAAGTAGTGTCGCTTTGGTAACTGATAAAAAAATGCAACAAAACAGTCATGGAGCTTATAAAAACCAAGGCCCTGAGCAGGTTAAATACTAGCTCCAGGTACAAGGCAAAAAACCAGAAACATCTGTCAGTACATACGTGGGAATCAGAAGCCTACAGACTGTGCCAAAGCCCTTGGAGTCTTTAACATGTGATTACATGTCTTAGAAACTATCTTTTGATCATGTAGAAATCCATGTGCTTTCATCATACTTTAACAGAATAAAATGGAACCTCAAAATCTTTAACCCAAGGGACATTCTGAATCACCACCTCTTGGGGAGGAATTGACAGCTTTATGATGGCAAGGATTAGGTCAAATGATATAGACTCAATGCAGAACAGATTTTTTCCTGTCCTGGGGTCTCAACTGAGGAATTTGTGCTTGCTTGAACCACCTCCAGCCCTCTGGAACAGATCTTTTATATGAGCCTAATTACTATGGTGTTAGGCATGGTATTTGACATGACATGTCATCCACATGACAGAAATGAACGGGTCATATGCCTGTATTCTAGATGCTCCCAGGAAAGTAATAAAAATAAAACATTACCATGTAGTTTTTAAATCCTAGAAAGGTGAAGAGTTTTGTAAAAACAAGGATTCACTTTGGGGGGAGGGAGTCTGGAAGACTCCACATAAGGGCATTTAAGTGAGTTCTGAATGCATATGAATAGACTCTAGAGGTAAGGAATACCATTGTTAGCAGAGGCTAGAATTGAAGTCTTTCTGGTTCATAAGTATGTTTCTTTTTACCTGGCCAGACTTATCCTTTTAAGGCTTTGTGCTGTCTACCAACTCAATATAATATTGCAGTGACTGGGAAGATCCTTGCTGTAGCTATTTCCTGTGGGTAAAAGTACATTCCTGAGCCAGATGATTCTGAATTGACTTATACTGAGAAGACCATCCTCAGTAGCAATTACTCCATACTAGGTTGTCCCCATTGTTTACTATCTAGATAACATTCACCTCGTTTGAAGAAGAACACATCCACTAATATTGTTCTATATGATCTTGGAATGTATTGCAAAGGCAATAGTGTCATCTAACTATGAGCCACTCTGGCCCTCACCCTCTATAGAGCTTCTGGATTTCCACTTTTTTCTCAGTGAAGCAGGTCCTACCTGCCACCTCAGAGCCTGGAGGGAAATTCTCAGTATTGTGCTCTATGAAAGGAGGTTAACATAAGTCTGTGTTCTCAGGGTTGGGGCTCAGGTGGTAGAGCCTAGCAAGCACAACTCCCTGAATTCAAACTCCAGTACCACCCAAAGAAAAAAAGAAAAATCTGTTCTCTTGAGAATGCACAATATTAACAGAAGATTGCTAATGAATGTCACTCACACCTTACTCATTCTTTTCATAATTAAAATAAACCATGATCATGCTTGAAGAATAAACACTGAAACTAAATGCATTGCTTCTTTTTGTTTGTTTTTGGTTTTTTTTTTCATAGTAAGTGAATTTATTAGCTTTTATCTACTAAACAGCAACTTTCAACAATGCCAGAAATTACTGGATACAAAAAAAACACTCCTAAAAGTGTTCCTACACATTTTTTTTCTTCTAAGACTTATTTTATTTTTTATTGTTTTATTATTCATATGTGCATACAATTTGTTTTTGTTCTTTTTGAGACAGGGGCTCATGAGGTAGGCCAAACTGACCTCAAACTTGTGAGCTTCCTGCCTAAGCCTGCCAAGTGCTGGGATTACAGCACCATCACACCCAGCCTGCATTGCTTCTTATTCTTCCTTATTTCAAATTCTTTTTTAACCCCAAACACATATACACATATACATGCAAACTGTATGTTAACTTGGGAGAATTAATTTATTTATTGGTGGGCCTGGGATTTGAACTCAGGATGGGCTTTGCTGTTTGAGCCCACCTCCAGCACAGCTTCGGAGTTATTAATTGATCACAAAATACAATTACGAATTAAACCTTGAAGCACTTTTCCTCACTGATAAAAACAGAGACCTTAAAACCTGGCAGAGATGGGCACTGGTGGCTCATGCATGTAATCCTAGCTACTCAGGAGGCAGAGATCAGGAGGATCGTAGTTTGAAGCCAACCTGGGCAAATAGTTCATGAGACTCTTATCTCAAAAAAAAAAACAGAAAAAATCACACAAAAAGGGCTGGTGGAGTGGCTTAAGTGCTTAGCAATCATGAGTTCAACCCCCAGTACCATCAAAAACAAACAAACAAACAAACCACCCCAGAAACATTAAAATGGAGAGTCAGGTATGATAGTACAGGCCTGTAATCCAAACATTCAGGAGGCTGAGGCAGGAGAACAGTGAGTTCTAGGTCAGCCTGGACTACGTAGTGAGATCCTGTCTAAAAAGTGAATAATAAATTAGGAAAAGGAATGGTTTTTTTTTTTTTTGTCTTTTTCTTTTGGTGCTAGGGATTGAGCCCAGGATTTCACACATTGCTAGGCAAGTGCTCTACATAAGCTACATCACCAGCCCAGGATGTGTAAGATTTGAAGGTAACAGAGACTTGGAATTCTAGTTATTGCCTTTGCCTTAAAAAAAAAAAGAAAAAAGAAACATAAAGCCCCCCAAAAATTAGTGGGGAAAGTCTAGGTAGACTGGCTAGAGCTAAAAGTAATTTAGCTATCAGGAGCAAGTTTCCATTCTTGTTTACATAAGCATTTTGTGCCTCTTCAGAATATGAGGAATATGAGGGTCAACTCAGATTGCACTTTCTTCAGGTGTACTGCTACATGCCTCAGTCATGCCTCTGCTAAAAGGCAGCACCCTTTCATGAGGCAGGATGGTTACTGAACTTGTGCTAGAAATCCAAATTAAAATCATACTATAAATTGGACATAGTAGCAGCCCTGTGATACCTTGAATGTGTCTTTGAATCTTTTTTATTGAGATGTGAGAAAATGTTAAAACTGTAAAACTGGGATGCCCCTTAAAGATTTCCCTCATTTTACAGATGAAAAAGCGAAAGCTGGGAGTGGTTAAATGAATTGCTCAGAATCTTTATTAAGTGGCACAAAGAGATTTGACAATCTGGTCTTCTGACTCCAAGCTGAACTCTCATTTTCCCCACAAAGCAAAGCTAGAAGGTATTGGTAGATGGAAGGGTTATGCGTGTGTCTTTGGGGAAAGGTGAATAGTTCTTGATTGGAAGGGGTTGTTGAATCTTACCTGACATCTAAGGTAATTTCCAAACTTTTGCCTTTGGTGTATTTGAACTGTATGGTGTTACGATACCTTCCCCATCTGTAGAATTTCACAATTTTCATTTTATATTGTACAGATTTAAATTATATTACTCAGATGTAATATATGTACTAGAAAGTAAGGAAACCAGAATTCATCTGTGTGTCATTACCAAGGCCTTTCTGTACCCAAGGCTCTCCTCTGATTTTTTCCTATTACTTATTAGAATCATGACCCTCCTGGTACCCCCTTCATTTCTTTACACATTGGTTGGTTGCTAACACTCAAGTTGGGAGCTTGAGTAAATTATATCAGTGGTATAAAGTAGTTAGAGAAGCCTTGGGGACAGAATTTCCAATTTAAAGAAAGTTTTCCTGGTTTGGATCTCAGAAATCTTTTCATGTTTTAAACTAAAGATGGAACAAATATTTAAAGCTGTAATCAGATCATTCCAGTTGATGACAAATGGCTTATAAATAAAACAAACTAGGGCTGGAGGTATGAAGCCAAAGAATGCCTGTCTAGCAAGTACAAAGCCCTGAGTTTAACCCCAGTACCTGCCCCCAACCCCCCACCAAAGAAAAAAAAACTGAACTACTTTTTTTTTTTGAGCTAGGGTTCAACTATGTTTCCTATGCTGGGCTCAAGTGATTCTTCTGCCTCATCCTCCAGAGTAGCTGGGACTACAAGCCAGTGCCACCACCTTTCTTTTCTTTTGTTCCTCTTGGAAAAACATTCTTGGTATTCTTGATAGAACATGTCATAATATCCTGTGTTAGTATAGGTAGTGACTTAAAGGCTAAACAACAAAAATCAACCTCGTTCAAAGTAGAATATGACTTATCCTCACAGCGTAACTTTTTTTCCAGGTATTTATTTATAAATCATTCAGTTCTGAATGTGCAATTCGTATGCTTACAGCCTAGGACAACAAAGGACCATGTGGCACTAAATAGGGACAGTGGGCTCTAGCGTATGGGAAAAACTCCAAGCTACAGATAGGTCTCTGCATTCTATACGACAGGAGAAAAACCGTCCTCAGTGTTTGCAGAGCTCAGTAGACTTGAAAAGAGAAAGGCTGGTGCAGGAAGGAGTGATCCAGCTCATGAAGAGGAACCAAGCAAGAGCAGGTTCAGGTGTTGTCTATAATTAGAGAAGGGTCCAATAATGTACTTTATAATTGGAATATATGTCCCCAAAGTCCTATTCACTGACGTCTTTAAATGAACCCTTTATTAAGCTCTTTTGTAGTGCAGAACTACAAACAGAGCTCTCAGGGATTTGGGGACCTCATCCAAGTCACTTTTCGAGTGAATTTGACAAGTTGCTATGACAGCAAACCTACTCTTCTTCTAAATACTGAATGTCTGCAATTTTGATATTACATTAAGGTGTTTTTTTAAGTGAAAATTTGAGCAATTTCCTGGAGTCATTCTTCAGGGATTAAAAGTGGGATTGGCAAATGAGTCTTGCTTATTTTTAAATAGTTTTTTGAGTGGGTGAATGTGGAACGGTAGGCATAGTATCAGATAAATGAATGTGTGGGTTCACATGTATCTATATCAGTGAATGAAAGCTGAAATAATTACTATCCTCAGTGTCTGGGTTGGCACCATAAGGTATTTTAAATTGCAGGTCTAACGTGCTAGTTAACAGGAAATTACATTTTCAGATTAACAGCTGCAGAAAACGGCATGTTCCTGTTTTCTTTCTCTTTCATTCTTCCTTCCTTTCAGACCTGGTAAATACTTTCAGCATCCAACTACTTAAGGAGAGGGGATTGGGAGAAAGACAGGTTTTACCATGAATTCTGGGGACTTGTTGTGATGTCACTGCAAGCTCTGTGTGTGATCGGAGGTGGTGTTAGAGCTCCAGGAGCTAGAGGGGGGAGAGCAGTGAAAGAGACGATGTCGCTCTCAGACAAGCAGCCAGCCTCTCTCACTGCTACATACAGTCAGTTGTATAAGGGCAAGCCTACAGAGTGCCAAATGGACTCATCAAAAGAAATCCGGCAAGCTGGATTCCAGTGGCAGAGAACAGAGGGCAAAGTGAATGAAATCGGGCTGAATATCAGCATGGACAGGCAGCTGAAAGACGGGTTTGTGAAGAATGCCAGTTTCCTGGAGCAGAATAAGCTCTGCTTTTTTGAGGGGAAGCTAGACAAAGAAGTCGTCATTGAATTGCAGGATAAGGAGTATCAAGCAACCTCCGGTCACCTTGAAAGCAGGTATGTGATTTCAGAAACCTGCCATCCCTTAGAGGGGAACTCAGTACATCAGAAGATAACTGAGTTCCATCTGGGACTCATAGAGGGGCCAGACAAAAACAAAGCCACTTTAGTTCAGGGGAATGTGGAAGGACAGAATGGACTAGAGACCAACAGCCAGCCAGATCTGGATTTTCCTAAGACTGCTGACATCCCCACCCAGTATGATAAGGAGCAGGAAACCAGTGTTTGGAACCCCAACTTTCATCCAGTGGCTCAGGACTCAAGGGAAGCAAATCCAGGAAGGGAAGAGAATGGCCTGGCCCCTGGCTGTCCAGTGATTGGAGTGGTGAATGATAACTCTATACAGCTTAAATGTGAATCCCCACTACTGGTGGCTATCACCCACCCAGCCCCCACTATTGAGCATTCATCAACTGCCATTCTCCCAGTCACTATGGTGGAGTTCACTCAGGAATATTTGAATACGGGCTCTCACATTAGTGGCCAGCGTAAGGAACTGGAGAAATTGAGTTCTACTGAGGAGGGGGCTATGCTTGACCAAGCCTCCCAGCAGAAAAAGGCAATGCGCCGGGCCCTATCTGAATGTTCTCACCTTTCCGTTCCCCTAGCTCTCAACCTTGCAGATAAGTATCCTGAGCCCCCTGTCCGAGAAGAACTTCCTTTTGGCTTACTGTCTCCAATCAGTAGCCCAGTACCTAGCCCTATGCCCAGGAATCTGGGAGCTTCTGCTATAAGGTGCTCCATGACAGTGGCTGATGAACAGACAGCTAGCTGCAAATTGAGTTCTGGGGAATTGCCCATCCTGTCTACTAAAGAGGTACCTCTCACTTGTGAGGAACCAGTAGCCAAGAAGAAAGAAGAATTAACCCACTTCGGCAACAGCAGCAGCAGCTCTGGGAACAAAGTACTCGGTACTGCTGGGTTATACCTCCATAGTAAGCTGGAGCAGATTCCTGAAGGAAGCAGAGAAAAAGGACAGAAAGATATTAATGAGACAAGAGTTAATTCATGCTTCCTGGTCTGCCAGGGAAGTGAGAAACAACCAGGACAGACAGCTCTGGCAGGGAAGAAAGAAATTGAGGTTACTGCAAGCCAGAGCATTCCATCGTTGCTGTGTGAAGAGGCTCCACGTGATGGTATGTTTCTAAATTTTGCCTCCATTGGGAACAAGCAGACAGCAAGAAAGGAGCCAAAGTGATAGATTAACAACAGGAGTGTCAGGCAGCTTGTTTCTGCTGGAGTCTGTGACTATCTGGGAAAAGCTTAATTTCCTTGCTTTGGAAGCTTGCTGGGAATGAGACAAGAAAGAGAATAAAGTGAATCTGGCTGGGTCAAGCTGAATGTCTGCTGGCATGACAGCATAGATTGAGGATGTGGCTTGATTGGGTTGGTGAGGTATGGGGTCTGGAGTAGTGGACATAAAAATTAGAGCCCCTTCTTTGACCTCATGTCATCATGTCCACCCCATCCCCCATCCTCCCATCCCCTCAGCTCCTGTTGGTTTGAACCAGATGATTCCTGAGCTCTAAACCATTCCATCACACTTGATTTATTTTCCATGCTTGAAAAATCTATGACTTTGCAGATCCACAATGAGTTTATCAGCACTGACCTCCTCTCGTTAAGTTGTGCTGTCTGGGTGGAAGCTTGTTTCTGTTTTCCTTTTGGGAACATTTTACTTTTGTTCAAGCTGAAAAAGAGCCTTTTAGAGTTGGCTATTTAATAGTCTTTTCCTGTTTGTCATGTTTGACCCAATCTTGATGCTAGTTTTCTCTTTCTATGTGTGTGTTGTGAGGATTTGTGGTGCACAGGAGAAAAAAGGGAAAGCAAAGAGGGGAGATACTTGCAACCTAATAAACAACTAAGTGCTGGCGTTCTTTGTGACTGCCTTCTGTCTCTTCCTGACCCTTTCCCCATCCCCATTCCCATCCCCCATCTCCCATCCCCATCCCCCACCTCCCAGGGCTGGTATTGGTGGTGGTCTAAAAAGTCTTTTTCTCAGCATCCAGTTTGAGCACAAAGTACCATTAACAAGCTTGTTAATGGGGATTTAAAGCAGGTGTTTTATTTGTTTTAAAAAGTAAGTTTCTTTTCTTGGGTCTGTTTTCTCTATTGCTTCCAATACATTTTTATGAAACTTTTTGCCTTTTCTTTTCTCTGAGAAAGAAAAGTGCTCTTCTAGGTGAGTAGTAAGTGGAATAGGATGTTGATGACTGGAAGTTTTTGGATTTTTTTGGAGATAGTGTTTCTTATAACTCTAAAATCATAAGAATTCAGCTGTACTGTGCTGTTTTGTACTTCTAGCAGTGGTAGACCTGCAAGGTTCTCAGGGACAGGCTTTTGTCATTTTTCTGTTGACCCCTAGTACCATGTACTGTTGCTGCAATGAAGATTTGTTGGGGGAGGGGTTGTTCTTTTCAGTTACTGGGGATCAAATCCAGGGTCTCACATAATGCTAGGCAAGTGCTTTAATACTGAGCTGCATCCGAACTCAGTATTATTTTGAGAAATGGTTTCATTTAAGTTGCCCAGGCTGGCTCAAACTAGCAATCCTCCTTTTTCAGCCACCCGAGTAACTGGGATTACAGTCAGGAACCACCAACCCCAACAAGATGATGGATAGGTAGTAACCATTGAAGACTTTTATTGTTTGAAAACAGGTTCATTCTAGTTCACACTAACAGAAAACCATGCTGATAGAAAAAAATTCCAGATGATTGACAAATTCATTCATCTGATAAATTCTGAATGCTGACTCTGCTAAACAAGATATAAACTATACAAAAAACTTTCATGTGTCATACCTATCATTTGCCAGTCGCTTTCTAGGCACTGAAAATTGTCCTTGTCCTAAAACAACTTACCATCTAGCTGGGGGGCTGAAATAGTAAAAGGGTTATAAATCATGAAACTTCTTTGGGGAGGCAATACTGGAATTTGAACTCAGTGCTTCATGCAAGTGCTCTACCACTTGAGCCACACCTCCAGTCTTTTTTCTTTTTTCTTTTCTTTCTTTTTTTTTTTTTTTTGAGGTACTGGGGTTTGAGCTCAGGGCCTCATGCTTAATAAGCAGGTGCTCTCCCACTTGAGCCATGCTGTCAGCCCCAGTCATTTGCTGTTAGTCATGTTGCTCAGGGCCAGCCTCCCGCCATGATCCTCCTACCTATGCCTCCACATGGCTGGGATTATAGCTGTGTACCACCATAACTGAACCTCATGAAACTTTTTTGAAGGAGGTAGCATTTGAGCTGGCCCTTGAAAATCTGTGATGCCCAGTAATACAGAGAGAGCCTTCCAGGCAATGAAACTCTTATAAGTAAAGGTTTGAAAGCTTAGATAGCTCACATTAGGTAAAAGAATAATGACTGGTCTTTATGGGACATTCCTTTAAGAGTTCTTAGATTGCAAAGAAAAGAAAATATACTCAGAGGAACTAGAATTTATTTAAGGAAAAAAAAAGTATTAGGCCAAGTGGTGGTTTGTACATGTAATCCCTGCACCGGCCAGACAGAGACAGGAGGATCACAATTTCTAGTCCATCTTGGGCTACGTAGCGAGACCCTGGCTCAAAGACAAGTACTAAACATTTATTGATAGCATATACAAGAATCTCAGAGAATCCAATTCCAGGAAGTACATCAAGGCTGTAGCTATCATGTGTGTCTCTCTTGGGATCTCTGCTTTTTCCTGCACATATGCTCTATTCTTTTCCCTTCTGGAAACTTGCTTTTTTTCTCTGTCATCTCTTATGTTCTTACTTCCTTTGTGACTGTGTTCTTTCCAGAACAGAGCAATATTGGGTTGCCATCATTCGGGCTCTGTGGCCAACTTTGTGCTGCTGTATATCACAGAGACCCAAGATTGCTTGACTACAATTTTCATGTCTTAATGTACTTTAGAGAGTAAGCAAGTAAACCCATATAATTGGCCCAGTTTGATCTAATCAATTTTGTGTACCAAGTATCCACCATTCCATTCACTTAGTAGCTTCTGTAGAGAAGAGTATGGGTTGAGCAAACATTCCAAAGCCATCCGTACAAACATTAGAAGGAACATCTGCCTGGTGCTGGTGGCTCACACCTGTAATCCTAGTTACTCATGAGGCAGAGATAAGGAGGATTGCGGTTCAAAGCCAGCCTGGGCAAATAGTTTGCAAGACCCTGTTTCAAAAAGGCTGGTGGAGTGGTTCAAGGTGTAGGCTCTGAGTTCAAATTCCAGTACCACAAAAAAAAGGAACACCTGGAAAGTTGTTTGGTGTTCTATCTTGCCAAGTTTCAAATACCCCAATGAGAAATTTAAACTTCATTACTTATTACCATGTTTAAAAAAACTGATGACTATCTATGACAGAAAATAAAGTAGATCAAGGTTCTCGTTTGGAAAACTCATCTGTTCTAGTAGATAGGATGAACTGGGATTGGAAAATGGATGTATTAAGGGTGGGAGAAGATAATCCTGTGGTTTTGAGCTTGCTTTTCCCACTAGGTAGTAATACAAATATTAGAAATATTACCTACAACATAGAGAAGAAAGGGTTGCAAGAACGGAAGGAAGAAAGAAAGGAAAGGAAGGCTTTTTCTATTGCCAAAGGACTAGGACATGGGAAGTTCAGCAAAAACCTATTAGTGAATGCTAATTCCCTACCCATACTCAGCAGTGAGCTCAGTTGGCCTGTAGGTATACTGTCAGTTGAACCCAGGAGGACCTACCTATTGTCTGCTTCACACTCAGCAGGAACTATAAGCCTGATTTACTCAAACTGGGAGCAACAGCAAGGCTCATCCCTACCAGGTAATAGCACCAGTGGCACCTATAGGCCTGGTGTCTTACAGACCCTCTACCCAGTGTGGAGACCTAACTAGGTTTTCTCATCTCCTTCTCCCTAGCAGCATAAAGCAGCCCAGGTAGGTACTTCCCATCCACAGCACCCCTGGTAGTATTCAAACAGTAAGCCTGTCCACTCCAAGCAGCCAGAGAACAAGCCAGGGGAAGCTTTGTCCCTCCAGTGGGTACATCATCATTTAGTTCTTAGTGGGGTGGCCCAGGAAAGTGCTTTCATCCCTTTCAGGCAGTAGCAGCAGGGACTGAGAGCTTCAAAAGAGCCAGAAGAACACAGCAGGTCAGAATCCCATTGCAAGGTCTCTCAACACTGAATTTTCATTGGAACTACAGCCAGAACCTATGTATCTAATATAAACAGAGTGGCCCACTGAAGTACACAAATTAAAATTTTAAAGCAGCCGTCATTTAATTGCTTTAAGCAGTTACAAATTTTCTTGAAACAAGTGAAAAACTAGCTGGGTGCTTGGTGGCCCATGCCTGTAATCTTAGCTACTCAGGAGACAGAAATCAGGAAAATTTCAGTTCAGGACCAGCCCAGGCAGAAACAAGACCCTATTCTCAAAAATACCCAAAACAAGCTGGGCGCCTATGGCTCATTCTTGTAATCCTAGCTACTTGGGAGGCTACAATCGGGAGGATCAACGTTTGAAGCCAACCCGGGCAAATAGTTTGCAAGGCCCCATCTCCAAAATAACCACTGTAAAATGAACTGGAGGTGAGGCTCACACAGTAGAGGACCTGCTTTGCAAGTGCAAAGCCCTGAGTTCAAAACCCCAGTCCCACAGAAAACAAAAAAGTTATTTCAGGCTGGACTCAGTGCTGTATGTTTATTTCCCACTTAAACAGGGAAGCACAAATAGGAGGATCACCATCCAAGCCAGCTGGGCATAAAGCGAGATCCAAAACTAACCAATGCAAAAAGGGCTGGTGGAGTGGCTCAACTAGTAGAGCAATTGCCTAGCAAGCACAAGACCCTGAGTTCAATCCTCAGTAAACACAAGTTGTGTCATTCGTTTGCTTTTAGAAACAATTCTGTGGCAAAAAAAACAATCTTGAGTGTTTGTCAGTTTGCAAGTATATGAATATACCTCTAAAACAAACTTCTAAAAATTGAGATTCTGAAACTTTCTTTTTTTGGTGAGACTGGGATTTGAACTCAGGACTTTGTGTTTACAAAGCAGACACTCTACCACTTGAGCTACAGCTCCAGCCTGGAAAGTGAAATTCTGAACTAGAATTTATCTGCATCCAAAATTTTCAGAGCCTTTGCTAAACTTCTATGCTGGTTTACATACCTATCAACAGTGTATTTCTTCATCTTGTCCCCACAGTTATTTTCAAATTTTAGGGCTTGACAATATGTTAGGTTAAAAATAGCATTTCAATCTTGTTTAATTTTCTTTTTCTCCCATCATACCTAAGATTAGATATATTTTCATATTTCCAAAGGCAATTTATATTTAAACTGTGTTCATATTCTTCAGATCACTTTTTTTCTCATGGGTTGTTGGCGTTACTTATTTGTAGAAGTGATTTATATAATAAATTCTTTGTCTTTGATATGTGCTTCAAATACTTTCTTTTTGGCATTTGCCTTTTGACTTTTTGTTTTTTTCTTTAGTCACACTATCTTACTGTCTCTGGATTTTTTGCCAGTTAGAAAGACCTTCCCCCATATATTTACAAATTTCATAATTTAAAAAAAATTTCTTTTCATAGTGTTTTAATGCTTTCAGGCATAGCCCTATTAAAATCTGGAGTAGCCCCTGGACATAGAGGAGTCTATGCTGCTTTATTTCTGGCCCAGGGTCTGGTTATCTGGGTCGCTGCTAAAACTAGAGCAAGTTACTCTCATACATAAAGTAGTTTTTTTTTAAACAAGAAAAGGAAGTAAGGAGAGGACATTGGATGATCTTCTGGCTCTTACCCCATCTCTCACCAACAGTTGTTCCAAGAGATTGACTCTGGTAGAAGAGGTTTTTGTCCCCTGTGTACTCCGGAAGCTAATGGTTGGGAATAGAACTGCTTTGCTGGTCTCAAGGGAATGAAAAACAAACTTTCTTTCCACCGATCATTAGTGCAAATACCACTTAGATTGCTTGTCCATAGGGACAAGTGCTCAGAATCTCTGGAATCTAAATCTGTCCTCTGTCACAGCAAGAACTTGCCACATTTCAGTAGCATAGCCCTGTGTTTTTTGTTTTTGTTTTTGTTTTTTTCCAGAAAGAAGTGCTATTTAGTGGTCTGTCTCTGCTAAGCCTTGCATTTTCAAAATGGGTATAAAGTACATTTACTTAAGAGTGATTCTCATTCCCTCCATCCTTAGGAATTGTCAGACCAGAAGAAGGAAATACTGCTGTGAGTGTGACCGGAAATGACATTACTACCCCTCCAAATAAGGAGCTCCCACCAAGCCCAGAGAAGAAAACAAAGGTAAGTGCTATAATGGTGGTTATCTTCTGCTATAATTTTTCAAAACAAAACTTTCTGCTATGAATCATTAATGCAATTTCCTTTTTCTGAGCTATTTTGTGAGTCTTTGCTCAAGTTTGGATGTACTTAGAAAATATCTTATATTTCAGTTTTACCATAGGGGCCTAACCCAAACATTAAGATTCTTGCCTTTGACCCTTTTATCTTGTATATCTATAAAAAATATTCTATAGAGATTGTTTCTGCTTTTAACGACAACAAAAAAGCACAGCGGTATTCTTAATCTGTGTTCATAAAAAGGAAATGCAGATTTTTTAAAAGTAGATCATAACTGAAGACTGGGATATAGTGATCTTGCCTCATCATGATAAGGGTGTAATAAAAGCAGGGCATGGTGGTGTGTGCCTATAATGTCAGCAATTTTGGAACCTGAGGTTGGAGGCCAATCTGGAGATCCATCTCAAAAAAAACCACAAATACATGAAAGATCCAGATAATAATGACTTAATCCCTTGCTGATGATTATTGGAGGCACCAAAAGCAGCTAATAATATAAAGCTATTACTGAATTTAAATGTTATGTGCCAAACTGTTGGAATTTGAGGCACTATAATTAAGAAATGATTCCCACAGGGCTGGGGGTATAACAGTAATAGAATGTGTACTTAGCATGTGTGAGGCCCTGGGTTCAATCCCCAGCACCAAAAAGAAAGTAAAAATTAAAAATACCCAATTTTCTTCATCTCTATCCTGGTGTCATTCTACTGTTTTCTGAGCTCAGAAGAAAGGATTGCTAATTTTTAGTTGCATCAGTCCTCGTGGCTTATAATTTTGCTTTGAATTGTTCAATTTATACTTTTTTATTTGTTTTTATTCGTCTGTGTGTTTGATGTTATTCTTTAAAAAATAAAAATAAAAAAACAACAATCAACCTAAAGCCTTTGGCCACCACTCAACCTGCAAAGACTTCAACATCGAAAGCCAAAACACAGTCCACTTCTCTCCCTAAGCAGCCAGCTCTCACCACCTCTGGTGGGCCGAATAAAAAACCCATGAGCCTTGCTTCAGGTTTAGTACCAGCTGCCCCACCCAAACGCCCAGCTGCTGCCACTGCCAGGTCTTCCATCTTACCTGCAAGAGACATAAAGCCAAAGGTAAGTAGTCACCCAGGGAAAAGTGTTCCTCTTGAGTATCATATAGATAGGCTCTTATGCTACCAGATGAAGGTCTCAGGCTGGTGGCATTGGGGAAAGCCAAGGGGAAAGTGGGAAGCATGCTTTGAAGATCAGTGTGGGGGCCCCTGAAGCAACCATGACCTTTCAAAACCTTTTTCTCTTCTGGGGGCAGTGTCTACAGGTATGGTACTCATTTCTTCTCCCTGTCTATTCCCTTTACACTTGGCTGCCATCTGCAGAGTTGCATTACCAGCAAGGTCTCAGGAATAGTTCTCTGAGCAGGCATAAGGATGAGGGATGTAGGAGAGAAGCCTGTGGTGAGAGTCCTTTAATTGCATTTTCAGAAACCCTTTCATCCTGGGAGCCCCTCTGAAGCAACACTCAGAATGGTCTAGTGTTTGACATAGTGTTGTAGGCCTTCTTACATATAGTCTCTTACAAAACTAGGGTGTCACAAACTCCTGGCAATAGAATTGTTTACCATTATACCAAGAAGGTTGGAAAAGCCCCCAAACCTGCAGGTGTTGTGTGCGCAAGCTGACTTCAAGGGCTTTGTGCTGTGAGACCTAGAATCCTTATGAAATTGTCCAAAACAAAAAAACTTGTCAACAGGGTCTGTGGTGGTTCCATGTGTGCTAAATGTGTTCACGACAGGACAAAGCGTGCTTTCTTTATTGAGGAGCAGAAAATAGTTGTGAAAGTGTTGAAGGCACAAGCACAGTCAGAAAGCTAAATAAGAACATGAAGCTTTTTTTTTTTTTTTTTGCTTTCCTAGCATGCATGAGCTCTATTTGAAATCTCCAGCACAGCAAGGGAAGAAAAATTGTTGGATATGCATAAAATATTTTCAGTAATAAAATATCAAAATGTAAAACAAACCAGTAATAACAAAAATCCTTGTGTTCTTTTTACCTTTCCTTGCCTTGGTTAGAGACAGCATTTCATCTTCTTTTTGATTCCTCCTTTCTCTGCACTACTAACTTATCTTACCTATTTATGCCTTTCTTAACTGGTTTCCCCCACTCTGCATACCAACCAGATAATTATACTTTTTCAGTATAGTTCTCACCTTACATTCAGTTATTTGCCTTTCTCTTTATCCTGCAGAAAAGAATTTTACCTATACTTTGGTGACAGACTGAATCTTCCAGCTGATCTCAGCATGTTCCAGCATCATGTGACAACTCACTTTGCTTTTTGGCATTAGTCTACTTCTCATTGGGCTATTTCTGATCTTTTCTATCTTTCTAGGTCACCCACACTTACTTTTTTTTTTTAGCAGCACTGGGGTTTGAACTCAAGACCTTATGTTTGCCTAGGCAGTCTGACTGCTTGAGCCACTCTGCCAGCCCATTTTTTGTGATTTTTTTTTTTTTCAAGATAGGGTCTTGTGCACTATTTACCTAGCTTTGAATCTTGATCCTCCTGATCTCTGCCACCTGAGTAGCTAGTATTACAAGCATGAGTCACTGGCACCCAGCTTCACCCACTCTTTTGTTTACTGCCCAGAAATTGGTCACATACAGAGCCCCATTAGTGGTGGGGGGGGAGGGGAAGGTGGTCCAAACAATGTATACGTATGTATGTAAATGTAAAAACGATTAAAAAAATGTTTTTAAAAGAGCCCCATTAGCTTTATAGTGTTGTTGCAGGAGGAGAGGATGGGAGGAGACTATAACTGCCTTCCTCAGCATCTTGCTTTATTTTAGAAGGGCCTTAGGTTAGCCTAGTGGTACTCTTTAGATTCAGTGTGGGAAATGATTTCCCATGTGTGACATGTTAGTATTCTAATTTAATTTAAGCTGTTGGAACCTAGTACAATTGTACTCTAGGTTGAAACCCTGTTCAAGAAACTGAGAAATCCTGTCATAGACTAGGAATGATAATATCTCCTAAAGCTTTCTCTTTAAGCCTCATTTATCCAGGCTGTTTTTCTAGATCTTTAGAAAACAATTTATTTGAGTAAGAGGGCAGAGAGAAGGTGACTGGAGCCATGGCAGTAGGTTCTCCCTGAGGCTCATTCAGCAGTGGCTCCTGGGAAGGAAGAGAAGAATATAGGGAGGAGGGAAGGTGTCTAATGAAGTTTCACTCTATACTAATAAAAATGAAGTGCATGGCACTACACATTAACTCCTTAAATTCTCTCAATCATCCATAATAAAGGTATTATTGCCTTCATTTTATAGTTCTTCAGAACTTCCTAAAGTCCATGCTGATTGGTGACAAAAAGAGGACTGAGCCTGGGCTTAACTCCCGTGGTAAAGCATGGGTCCCCCGCCAGACTGTTTTATTATGCACCTGTTTTGCATTGCAGCTTTTAGACAGGCATTTTAAGTTTGAGAGGGCTGATCTAAAGAGGTGACCAACAACCATTAATCCCAGAAAATAGGACACTGAGTCATGTGAGTTCAAGGCCAGCCTGGGTTATATAGCAAAGGGAGGGGGAAGAGAAGTAACCTGAATTATAAGTATTCCTATTATTTGTCTTTCAAATAAGAGATTGATGGAAACATGAGAAATTGATACAAACTAAAATCTAATAAAAGCACTTTTGGACTGGGGATGTAGCTCAGTGGTTGAGTGTTTGCCTAGCATGTACAAGGCCCTGGGTTCGATCCCAGTACTGCAAAAAAAAAAAAAAAAAAAAATCCCTTTTGCCCTTATTTTGGTAGAAACAAAGAGGGAGGAAAACCTATTCAGGAAACTAAGTAAATCTCTGGTTCTGGCAGAAGATAAAATATAAATTGAGGAACAGCAAAATAATTACAGTCCTAAGAATAGGTTGGTCTTGCAGCTTGCTGAGTCCAAGAACCTAATGTCTAAGGGATGTCATATCCTTTAGAAATTTCTATCCCAAATAACATTTACTAACTTAATTTTATCATTATTACTCTTACTAGCAAAATAATAAGAGTACATTAGATTGTTCTGAATCACAGTCATAATATTAAATGTTTGGTTTGATACTCTAATTTTAGAACAGAGAGGGAACCACTCTACACAAAATTCTACAATGTGTACTTGAAAGGGCTTATAGCAGAACCAACCACCCTGATTCTGATCTTCTGGTTCTTCATACTAAGGGCTTCCATTTGTGAAAACAGGCATTAGCCTGCATTGGCAGAGTTAGACTTAGATGCCAGGCCTTAATTTCTAAGCACCTTTCTAGTTTACTTTGTATTTAGCCAATTCTCATCTTCACCAACATCCTGCCCCCTCTAGGTCCTTTCTCTTAAAGTATAAGAGCAGGGCCCACTGTGTCTGTTGTTTGGCTTCTTCTCTTCAGTAGCATGGTACATTTGCTTATCAAAACAGTATCTTTATTTCCTTTCCTGTAGAAGTCAGGATAAACTGATGCTTTTCCTTCCTAACTAGTGATGATGTTCCCAGCCTCCATGTAACAGAAACTATGCATAATGCACCGGAGAGATTTTTTTCCTTCTGCTTCCTGCTCCCAGCTATACCAGTGCTTCTCATTCCCTTTGTTGGTCAGGGCTGCCCCTTGTTGTTGTCTTTGTGCTGTCAGAGACCTCATGTCTTCTCTTCCCCCACATTGCATATTCTAATATCTTTATCCAGATAAGGAAATAATGCTCAGAGGGGCTTGGTAATTTGCCCAAAAACATACTGTTGAAGGGTAGAATAGGGCCCAGGTAGAATACTGACCCAGATTTGGCCAGTAGCCTCTTCATCAGCAACAGCCCTATCCTGTTCAGTATTTTCTAAGTGCATGTTAGCCAAAAGGACAATTGAACTTATCCAAACGTCATTTTTAGTTTCTGGTTTGTTTATGTGTATGTTTATTCTGTCTGATCAAATGTATCCCAAGGCAAACATACACTGTGGTGTGATATACCTTCCAGGGCTATTCATTCACACTGGATTGAAGTTGATTCTGTGTTTCCTAACCTTAGATCACACAGCATCCAGTGTGGCCAGTTTCTTGCTTTATCTGGAAAACTTTGATCTTAGCCATATATTTTCCTGTCAGTAGCTGCTGAGCCCCCATTACCCCCTGTTCTCCGTGGGTGGTTATATAGAATCTTTCTGGGGCTATTGCTGATCTGTACCTCTTACTTCCACTTTCCTATTTCTAGCCCATTGCAGATGCAAAGATTCCTGAGAAGCGGACCTCACCATCCAAGCCCACATCTGCCCCAGCCCTCAGACCTGGACCCAAGAGCAGCTCGACTGTCCCAAAAGGTGCATCACCTGCCACTCTTGTCTCCACTGGGCCAAACAGTAGAAGCCCCCCCACACCCCTGCCCAAGAGACCCACCAGTGAGTATCACCTATCCTTACTTCCCATAGGAATCAGTGGGGAGAGAATGGGGCCTTGGCTTTGCTCCAGCCAGCCAGCATTACCAATAGCTGTGCATACCTCCTTATGTACTAGTTCTTAGTGGGATACACTACACAGTGGCAATCTAGTGAGCTTAATATTTAACAAGCCTTCATCTCCATGTGATCTTAGCAGTTGTTTATATTCAGAAAAATCTGAGTGAAAGGAACTCTTGAATTCTCAGGTAGAATATATTACTCCTTTCTTAGTGACTCCACAGCTCTGTGGACTTTGTGTCCACAATAAGAAATGGGAAGTTCAGGCTAGGGGCCTTAGCTCAGTGGTAGCTCAGCACTGCCAAAAAAAAAAAAAAAAAAAGAAAGAAGCAATTCAGTTTCCTAGGCATATATGACAAGCTACTTCTAAGGCCATTCAGAAGACATTATCAGGACTGTAGAGAAGAACAAAAGGTAGTGTGCCTTGTGTGCTATGTAAAGGTACAGTCTGTGGCTATCTCATTTTCTACTCTGTCTTAGAAATGAGCATAGTCCCTGATTCAAAATGGACATTCAGTAATTGTTAAATGAATGATGACTCTCAGCACTGAATGAGCCATTCTGTAGGTCAGCTTGTTAAACATTATATTAATTTGTTTGTACAGCCATCAAGACTGAGGGAAAATCTACAGATATAAAGAAGATGACTGCAAAGTCTGCACCAGGTAATACCCCACCCCCGTTATGAAACCCTAACTTGAACCCTAACTCTTCCATGGCTTTAAGGCTCTCTTCTACCTTATAGCTGACTTGAGTCGCTCAAAGAGCACCTCCACCAGTTCTGTGAAGAAAAACACCACTCCCAGTGGGGCAACACCCCCAGCAGGGGTGGCTCCCATTCGAGTCAAGCCCACATCCACACCTCCTCGGCCCTCTGTGACTGCTGCTGTGGAAAAGAAGCCTATCTCAGCCAAAGTCAGCTCCTCTGCCCCCAGGCTAAGCCGACTGGCTACCAATGCCTCTGCCCCTGATCTGAAGAATGTCCGTTCCAAGGTCGGATCCACAGAAAACATCAAGCATCAGCCTGGAGGAGGCCGGGTGAGTCCTCCGGAAGGACTCCAGAGCTTGGGGTCTTTGGCATGGTAGCCCTCCTTCTCCCGTGCCACATCCAACCACCAAAAGAGTAAGGCTATTAGAACATTGTATTCCACTTAGGCTTTGTAGTGGGCTTTGCTTCTCTGCAGCCCTGAAGGGGTGAACTGGGCTCTGAGCTTTCTCTTCCGTCTCAATCAGAGGTGGCTTCTGTTCGTTCGTTCTTTGGGTTTTTTTTTTTTAAGATGGGTGGGGCAGTTCTGGGGTTTGAACTTCCCTTTGAGCTTATTTGGCAGGCACTTCCCACTTGAGCCACATGGCTTCTGTATATGTTGGAGTTCCGTTTTACGTTTTTGTTTGGAGGTTCAAAAGGAATAGAGGAGGCTTCAGAAATACTGGGTGTTTTAATTAACCTCTGAGGATGAGAGACACTTTTTCATGAACCCAGTTACTCATGAATGAACCCAGTTACAATGAATGCCAGACTAAGCAAAAGGCGCAACACCTATTAGTTACACAGCCAATGGCTTGGGTAGGTTCTGTCTGAAAGAGGACTGGGGTGTCCTCTTGTGGCCAAGATGAGTTGTGCTGTAAGCCTCTGGCTTTCCTAAACAATAGGACTACACTGGAGTGTAATTAGGGACAAAAGTACAAGCAGACCACAGTGCTTCACTTTAAGGATGTTCTGGTTACATGAGTCCAGAATTATGTGTTAAGTGTTAGCAACTATGGAGAACTCTGTGAAAAAGGCAATGGCAAAAGTCCATCTGAGCCGGGCATTGATTGCTCTTGCCTATTCAGCAGGCAGAGATCAGGATAATCACAGTTCTAAGGCAGCCCATGCAAATAGTTCACAAGACCCTATCTTGAAACTACTGATCTCAGAAAAGGGCTGATGAGTACCTGAAGTGGTAGAGTGCTTGCCTAGCAAGTGCAAGGCCCTGAGTCCAAACCCCAGTACCACCAAAAAAAGAAAAAAAAAAAAGCCCATCTGATCTTGAGCTGGGTGTGGTGGCATAAACCTGTAACCCCAACACTTGGGAGGCAGATATAGGATTGTGAATTCATGGCCAGCCTGGACTACCCAGAAAGCTCAAGGTGAGCCTGGACTATTTCAAAGATTTTCTTAAAATAAATTCCAGTGGCTCACGCCTGTAATCCTAGCTATTCAGGAGGCTCTCAGTTTGAAGCCAGTCCGGGCAAATAGTTCATGAGACCCTATCTCGAAAATACCTAACACAAAAAGGGCTTGTGGAGTGGCTCAAGGTAAAGGTCCTGAGTTCAAGCCCCAGTACTGAAAAAAAAAAAAAAAAAGAATAAAAATGCAGTGGCTCACACCCATAATCCTAGCTACTCGAGAGGCAGGAATCAGAAGGATTGCAGTTTGAAGCTAGCCTGGGCAGAGAAAAAAACAATCCTGACTCTATCTTAAAAATACCCAATTAAAAAAACTGCTGTGTAGTGGCCCAAGTGGTTTATATATATATATATATATATATATATATATATATATATATATATATGTATGTATATATAAAATTGCATGCCAGGCACAGTGGCTCATACCTGTAATCTCAGCTACTTGAAAGACTGAGACTGGGAGGATCACAGTTTGAGAACAGTCCTGGCAAATAGTTTGTAACACCCCATCTCCAAAATAGAGCAAAATGGGGGTTTGGCTCAAGCAGTAGAGTGCCTGCTTCGCAAGTGTGAAGCCCTGAATTCAAACCCCAGTTAAACACACACACACTCCATCTGAAAGGGCTAGTGAAATGGCTCAAGTGGTAGAGAGCCTACCTAGCAAGCATTAGGCCTTGAATTAAAATGCAGTACTACAAAAAAGACAAAAATGTCGCAGAGTCCTAGTATATTTGAAAGACACTGGCAAACTGGGATCATTCTGGAATAAGGATTGCTTTTGGTAAACAGTGGCAAACCTGGCACGCCCCGCCCAGCCTCATGCCTAGATGGCCCTTCTCTTCCCTTTTGGTGTTCTTAGGCTTTCATACTACAAAAATTAAGGAGGTCTTGAGTAACTTGAGCTAGTGATTGGATTATTTTCTGTTCTAATATACCTGAAGTGTATCACACCAAAGAGTGTTGTCACCAGTTGTGGCTCCCTATGACCGTTGGCAGTGCGCTTGGACATATCAAAGCATTAGAGTTGAGGGGCATTCTGACTAGAAAATAACAACCATACACACATACAGAACAACTCATTTGGTCTTCTTAGTTTTTCTCCATAAATGGTGTCTTAATCTCTTCATTGTGTCTCAAGACTTTGGCCTGCAGTTCTCCCTGTGTTGTACTTATGGAATGTCTGGCTTGGTCTACACAGGGAAGTGTGTTTTTTTCCTAGGAGCAAAGGTGACTTGCTTCTGCCTGGGGGCCTGGCCTGGATTTGAGTTCTCTACTGCCGCCTTTCTTTCTTGACATTTGGGCTCTCATCCTCTTGGTTTGAAATTTGCCCTTCCTTTATCTCCATCCAGGCCAAAGTAGAGAAAAAAACAGAGGCAGCTGCTACAGCTGGAAAGCCCGAAACTAATGCAGTCACTAAAACAGCCGGCCCCATTGCAAGTGCACAGAAACCGCCTGCTGGGAAAGTGAGTTTTATTTAGACTTACCTCTGGGAGGTAAAAAATGGTAAAATTTTTCTTCCAGCCTGAGTCACTTTCCCTTCTATTCTACCTTTTTCCTTATCCATAACTGGTTTCTACTTCTTCTCCCATGTTCCCTCCTCTGTTTAATGACTCAGCCATCAGAAAAATTATGTATCAACCCTGAACACTAACAGAGTTGGGAACCCCATTAGTCCTTTAGGGACTATTTACTCAGCTAGATAAAAGGAATTCAAAAGTTTGAGTCACTTCCTTCACACTGACCTTGATTTGAAACCAACCTGGCATGCCTGCAAATATCCAGGTTCTTCCTCATAAAATTGTAATCTTCCAACATCTAAACCTTTGTAGCACCTGTCCTGTAGCTTGAACTACAAGGCCTTTTTCATAAAGCTGCTGGGTATGGAGATAGCTTTGTCTGTCTTGGTTCCCCAGGTCACCTCATAACTAAATGTTAAAATACTTATCCCTGATAGAAACCCACTTAGTACAGGGAATGCAGTATCTCCTGGAGTGCAGAAGTAAACTGAAATCTTAGGTTCCTGCCCCTTGCCTCCACATCCTGGAAGCAGACCCCTCCTGCCTGCTTTGGGCCACCTTCATTCCTTAGCTGTGGCAGGCAGCTGCCAGAAAAGCTTGAGCTCCAGTCCTTAGGAACCAGAAAGGAAGTCAGCCCAAGGATATCCCACAGTGGGGCATGAGAGGGAATGAACAAAGCAGCAGCATGGCTTCTGGGTCACTACTGGAGAATTTGTAGGTCCCTGCTTCAGAGAAATGCTCTTTAGGAAGTGGTATACTAAGCTGTGAAGAAGGCAAGAAATGTGAAGGGTACACAATGAATTAAATGGGTCAGAGTTGCTAGGGGCAGGTTTCTGTATTCTGTGAGCAGCTCTGTAGTTTAAGCGTTGCATCATTTGTGAAGCGTCTCCAATACTGAAGCAAAGGAAGGAAGCTGACAAGTATTTCCCCACACGTACCGCTCATGTCTTCCCATTCACAGTATAGACCAGGCACAGAGCCTGGGCTGAGGTGTATATATGGAATAGGTTTACTTTGTCTCCTGTATATGAACACAACCTGTGGTAAGCACCAGGAGGCCCAGTATTCTTCTTAAGAAGGCCCAAGAAGAATTCTTAGCTTCAGTCTCTCAGAGCCAGAGCCTTTGTATTACTCAGTTCCAGGGAGAGCCATTCATATACAATTCAGTGTGATTGTGCCCCCAGAACTGTGCATCATTGAAACCTGCCTTAAGCCTGTACTCCTTACACATGAAACTCACAAGGCACAGGATTAAGCATCTGGAGAATTCAAGAAGGTATTTTATCCTAGAATTGAAAACAAGTTTATGCTGGGCACCGGTGGCTCACACATGTAATCCTAGCCACTGAAGAGGCAGAGATTAGGAGGATCATGGTTCAAAGCCAGCCTAGGTAAATAGTTCATGAGACCCTGTCTCAAAAAAAAAAAGGGCTGGTAGAATGGCTCAAGTGGTAGAGCACCTGTCTAGCAAGCATGAGGCCCTGAGTACAAACCTTAGCATCACAAAAAACAAAGTCTAAACTTAAGCTAGGCATAGTGTTGTACACCTTTAATACTCATGAAACTAAGACAAGAGGATTTCAAGTTCAAGTCCAGGCAGGGCTATATAGCAAGACCCAGTCTACAGAAAAATAAAAAATAACAGCAACAAAAAAACTCTAGGCGTAAACCTCTATTTTACTGTGCTTTCTCCAGTCCTCTGACAGATGGGCTAAATGTGGACGCTGCTGAGACTGTGGCCTGTGCTCTGCCTGGTGTCCAGGATTCAATATCCATTTGCTTTTTTATATAAGCAATGTTTCTTCCTTCCTGTTAGTATCCAGTCTGTGTCCTGTTAGCCAACTGCCCAATGTTTCTCAAAGAACCTTTGTTTCAAAGGGTGAACCTGGCTGTAGCAATTCCAGACCCCAGATTTAATGGATGAAGACAGGTCCAGAGGATAAAGGCCCTTGCAGAGAGAAGCCAAAGACACTGCCCAGTTTGTGGGGAAAAGGCAGGGCAAGAAGGTGGGGCTTGGCTTGAGTGGACATCAGTGGCCTGCAAGGATGTAACACTTGTGTAACAACCACTTCTGTTGTATTGTTTGTTCATGTTTTTAATCCCTTTCTTGCTCTTTCAAATTCCTTTTCCTTTGGTTTTTCACCCTTGTTCTGCTGAAGGTGAGGGCAGAGATTTAACAAAACACTTTGTTGGTCATTGTGATCATGTGTACTCACTGCCTGCCCTGTGTCAGTTCTAACCAGCCCTCTCCCTTTGTGTGTTTTTTTGTTTTGTTTTGTTTTTGTTTTTGTTTTTTTTTTCTGTTCTCTAACGTTCCAGGTCCAGATAGTCTCCAAAAAAGTGAGCTACAGCCATATTCAGTCCAAGTGTGGTTCCAAGGACAATATTAAGCATGTCCCTGGAGGTGGTAATGTAAGTATAAGCTTTGGCCAGTTGGCATCTGAGGCAACTGTGGTAAACCCTGGGGAGAGGACCACATTCCCATAGGACAAGACTACGTCCACCTGAGCTGGGGCTTTCTCCAAGAAGCAGTCCAGTCAACAGAGGGGAAACCTGTATGCTCAAATGTGTTCGGACTGGGGGTCCTGGTGTGCCCCTGAACCACAGTTGATGATACCCGTGTAGTCCCTTTTCACCCCCATGAACAGGAGTTTCTGGGTTTACCTGTGTTAAAGACCTGGTCTGAGGGCATCAGGCCAGTTGTGTGTCTTACATCCATATCTAGGATAACTACACCTGTCTACATGCCCATTCAGTTCCTGGGGGAGTCTCCGCTCTGAGATAGATATCCACATCCTCCCAAGGCCCATCCTTGAAACTTGATCATTATATGGCTAGAGAATTCATCAGCCTCTTTGCTGTAGCCTTCCTCTACTTTCCTCTTCATCTTTTACTCTTCCTTCTTGCTTTTTTTCCTTTGTATTCTCCATTCCCTACCACTTTCTCCCTTTCCCTTTCTAATCTTTTTCCCCAATTTTTCCCCTTTTTAAGTCCCTTCTTCCTTTTAGTCCCTTTCCCCTCCTTTTTGTCTACTCCCCTCTTCCATCTCAATACTATTTTTGATCATTCTGGGTCAGCTCTGCTATCTGTATTAGGGACACAGGTGATTTCTGCTCCCAGGGAAACATGCTGGTCTAGGGAAAGACTGGGAAAAGTGTTAACTGTCATTTTTTAAGTTTACATGTAATAGTTGTACTGGGACATCACATTGTGATCTTTACATATGTGCTTACACTATGTCGTCTTAGATTCACCCCCTTCATCATTTCCCTCATCCCCCCTTCTCACTTCTTAGAACAATATCAGTAAGTTTCATTGTTCTCTTTTCATACATGAATACAAAATACATTCATCATATTCACCCTTTTTCACTCTTTTTACCCTACCAGTACATACCCCCAGACGAGACCTGTTCATCTTCCTGTCCTTCATTTTTTTTAAGTACGTTTTGATTGTTCACTGGGGTTTCACCTTGGTATTTCAGGCATGTATATATTGTACTTTAATCAGATTAATCCCTTCTATTACTTTCTTTGTCACTCTGCTCCCCTATTATTCAACAGTTTATAGTATATAGTATATTACAGTATAATGCCCAGGCAAGCAAGACTCTACAGAGCTATTGTTCCAGAGAAATGTCACAGGGCTGTCTAGATAGAGCTCTTGCCCACACTACTTCTCTCCAGTGACCTCCAGCCTTACCTCCCACCCTCCAGCAAGAGAGAATGGCCTGTCTTTGTTTCTCTTGGGTTCAGTTCATTTCTTTGTTCCTTAACTGGATTAAGTCCCATTCCATTTTCTCATTTTCTCACTCTGCATCCCTGTTCCCTGGGGTACTCAATGCCTTTCTGTCCATGGCCTACAGACATTACCCAACAGTTTTGTTTTGAGGAACGGGGCCATAGAGTTTCTCCTTGACCCACCCAGCTCCCTTCCTGGTCTGGGTAGACTCAGCCTCCTTTTGTATTCAGGTAGAGTATGCCCAGCAAGCTGGTGCTTGGCCACACATTAGGTAAGCCAGAGTGGGGTCAGCTGCAGTGGGTTAAACTTTGAAAGTCAGTATGTGCTTGAGGTTCCAGCCTATGGGCTCAGGTAGTCACTACCCTTAGTAGCTTTTCCTCTGGGGTTCTTGGCTTGGACAGAAACAGTTTCAAGGAAATTGAGTCACTTGTGTGTTTGACAGAGAAATTCATTCATGTGTTTTGTGCAGTGTCTATAAGAGCTTTGAACACAGATATCAGTTATTCATCATCTATTGTGATCTTTCCATGCTGCATACACATGACTTCAAACAAGATTTTCTTTTTTAAGAGGATTCCTTAAGCAGATTAGGAAACTGCTTCTATGCAGTGTGTCTATCTAGATGGGAAGGTAAGGGTAAATAGCAACTGACCACAGGCTGGATTGAGGTGCCTTAGTTCCTTCCATAGTCTCTATCCATCCATAATGTCATCACAAGTAAATATGCTGCTTAAAAGAGCAGGTCCACCATCTTCACACACATAAATGCACATGCTCTCTGGAGTTACTGCTGGGATGAGAGGCTTGGAGAAGGTTCTCAAAATTCCCCCCAGCACCACACAAACAAACCCCTGTTGAGACACAGAAGACATCAGGTAGAGAAGGAAGTGATGGACTAGGTTCCATTACACCCTTTATGTGGGGTTGGGGGAAATAAATGCTCAAACCTGTTCTCAGCATATTTCAATTGCATGTGTTGGTACCTGCAGAAGGTCTGCTACAGGTCCTCACAGAACAGTGGGGCAGCCTGTGGAAACAGAGTGGTGAGGTACAGTGGCTGCTGTGGTTAGTTGTATGTCAAGATGTCCCTTCAAGAGACAGTCATGGCTTTTGCTGGCTAACAGGCTTCACTGAGGAGGAGATATTTGGACCAGCCTGTGAAGGAAGCTTACATCCTAGGCAGTGCCTAGAGGTTGGAGCACAGAGTGGAGGCCAGTAGTGAGGGGAAGAAATGTGGGGAAAATCTTTTGGAAGCAGTCTGTAGACTCCTCTACGTACCAGCTAAAGTGGAGAGAACTGTGTCTTATAGGTAGTAGGCCTTGTTAAGTGGGTGAGCTCTGTTAAGATTTTTTTAAACTTTTTACTATGGAAATTTTAAAGCATTCAAAAATAGAAAAGAAATAAAATGCACTTTGATATACCAGTTTTGTTTACTGTCTCCATAGCCCCGGTAATTTATATGCCTACCCCAGTCTTAAATACTTCACTCATCTGAAAATGTTTCAGTATATAAATTTAAAAGATAAGCATTCTTTTAAAATATCTATAATTTGGTGCTTTATGTATATTAATAAGTATCCATCTCTTTTAAGATTCTTCCAAGCCAGGCATGGAGGCTCATGCCTATAATCCCAGCTACTCAAAAGGTGTAGATCAGGAGGATCATGGTTCAAGACCAGCCCACGCAAAAGTTAACAAGACCCTGTCTCAACCAATAGCTGGACATGGTGGCACATGTCTTTCATTTCAGCTACAGGGGAGTCATAGATAGAAGGACTATGGTCCAGGCCAGCCTGTGCCAAAATGCAAGACCCTACCTCAAAAATAACTAAACCAAAGAGGGCTGGAGTTGTGGGTCAAGTTGTAGTAGCGTACTTAGCAAACTGAAGACCCTGAGTTCATACCCCAGTACCCCCACCCACACATACACACAAAAAAAAAAAAGAAGAAGAAGAAGACATGGAAGCTTCAAGGATGACTCCACATCTTGGCAAGAGCCCAGACTTTAAAAAGTGGCCTAGTTAAAAAAAAAAAAAAAAAAAAGGTCAAAAAAAAAAAAAAGTGGCCTAGTGACCTGTTAACTTACCACAAGTGATCTCAGAGATGGGGTGGAGGATGGATGGGGTGGAGTGCCTTAGGACACATGGCAGGTTGATTTAAGCAATTGCCAGTTTCTTGGCTGGGAAAGTACACTTCCCTAAGTTCCCTGCACTTAGTAGGCTGAGGCAAGAGGATCACTTGTGCCCAGCTGTTCAAATGAGCAACATAGCAATAAAACTAAAATGAGATAAAAGTAAAAGATGCCTATGTTCCCCTCTATGAAGAATAAGAATGGGGACAGGCAATGTGGGTGTGAGGCCTCATTGCCCTTTTTTGGTGGCACTGGAGTTTGAACTCAGTTCCTCACACTTGCTAGGCACTTGAGCCATTCCAACAGCCCTTTTTCATGTTAGTTTTTGTTTGTTTTGTTTTTTGAGGTAGGGTCTTGTGAACTGTTTGCCTGGGTTGGCATCAAACTGCATTCCTCCTGGTCTTTGCCTCCCAAGTAGCTAGGATTACAAGCATGAGCTAGTGGTGCCTGGTGGCCCTCTGTTCTTAAGTTGGCCATTTCTCACCCTTACATACCTGTTTTAACCTCAGATAAAAACACTTACTGCTGTGATTGGCCCACCAACTCAATTGCTGGGAAGTTCCCCCTCCCATCAATATATTTTAGGAGGTATCTAAAATGTGTCATAAATTCCTTCTATGTTGGAGATAAATATCTGTAAAATAAACCATAGCCTGAGGAGAAAAAGAAGAAATTGTTGCTATCTAGGCAAAATCACAGCCTTTTTGGAAAGGTGAGGAAAGTATAGAGTGTGTGTTTTCACAGTGGAGCAGTTTCTGTTTAGTTCATGATAGTGTCCCTTCAAGAGAGAATGTGAGGAAGTTACTGCACCATGTGTGGTTTTGAAGAAGGTGGCCTTGAAGGAGAGGGAAGAGAACATAATATCTACTCTGGGGGAACAGCATGAGCAGAGCTCTAGAAGCAAGGGTGACAATGTCTCAGGCATGCTGACCAATATGTGTAGTACAGGCCTCAGGCTGTGGGTAGAAGTACAGAAATATGGAAGATAGTACATCTGTCCTCTCAGACATAGTATAGACCATGTTTGTTAACTTGACACTGAAGAAAAGAAGATAAAGACAGGGACTGGGAAGGTAGTTTAACAGAACGTTAAAGCAAAATGGTGTGGCATCTATTAGCAGGGCCCATTAGGCCACTGCATGAAAGAGCTGATTGTGTTATAAAGCCAGGCTCTGGCACAGTGCCAAAGAGAGCTCAGCCATTCCTGAAACCCTAGAATTCGCATCCAGGAACCCAGAGGGTACTCAAAGTCTGAAGATAATTATTTTCTATACTGATTTAAAGTTGTATCATCATCTTGATATTGAGATGTTACCAAGGCTTGTGGAGGACAGATGTTAATGGAAATGTATTGGCCACCTTAAAAGCAGGACCAAGTATAAAAGAGACCCAAGCCAGTCTCTAATCCAGGGCCTATCTATACTGTGATTCATTTGGGATAAATAATCTTGTTAGTTAGCTCATTCTGTTGATTGTTCACCAAATAGTATGTTCGCTAAGTGAGAGTCCCTCTTGAGGAGGCTGTAGGGAGGATGGAAGCAGATGAGGCATGGGCACTGTGGAAATAGCACTCCAGGCTGCTGGGAATAGGCCCTGGCCACACACACTTGCCCTGCAGTACTTTTCTATTGCCTGGTGAAAACGGGTAATGTATTTGGAGAGTGAAGCGGGCATATCTGTCATACAGTGCATAGCAAGCATGTGAAAAAGGTTAACTAACCATGATAATAATGATAATAAAGGAGTCAGGCATAGTGGTACACACTGTAATCCCAGCACTCTGAGGACTGAGGCAGGAGGATCAGAGTTTGAGGCCAGCCTAGGCTGTATAACATGTTCCAGGTCAGCCTATGTAACAACATATGAAGACACCATCTCAAAACCTAATAATAATCCCCCACCACCACCACCACTACCAAAGCAGCCACATTTTTATCTTACAAAGTACCAAAGCTTTTTCTTGAATGAGAATATCCAGTCTGCTGGGAAGATACAGTATGACGGTCACATGTAGGCTCTCTGGTAGAGAGGTATTAGTAGTGGCATTTCTGGAAAGTGGATTGGCATCAACTCAAAAACAACATAAACAGAAAAACCTGAAAACCATCTGTCTTTATCCTGATGACTGAACTTTTGGGCATATTGCCTAAGTGAGGCACTCGTATAACCACTTTTATCTACAAAGATATTTAGTGCTGTCATGTTTATAGAGGCAAAGAGTAGGAAATTATCTAAATGTTGAACATTAGGAATGGTGTTAGATTTATATGAGATAGATTATTTTGTGGTCCTTTCTTTATATTTCCTATTTTTCATGGGAAACTGGTTGAAGTCAGCAGAAGTACAAAGTCATACATATTGCTGAACTGCCAGCCACAGGGCGAAAGGTATTGAGAAGAACTTGAAGAACTTGAAGGGAATATGCCAAAATATTTCCATGTGTCTCTGGGTAAGGAAGTAACAGGCAAGATTTTGAGGTGGAACAAAAGGGACACTTCAGTTGTAGCCTTGATATTGGCTTTTGGACCCAGCACAATGGGAAAACAGCTGTGTGGAAGAAAAGGCAGGAAGAAGAGGAATAGTGGTTTAGTTGCCTGGGAGGTGAGGTCAGTGGTAAACAGCAGGACCAGAATAGAACTAGGGCCCTTTGAAGCACTTTGGGAAGTATCCTGACCTTGAACAGACTGACATAGGGGCTTATACTGGGTAAGAAAAACTTGATCCAGAGAGTATACAAGTACTTTGGCCCTGACAGTGTACTCTCTTTCTGTGGCATAATTTATTTCCTTCCTTCCTTCCTTCCCTCCTTCCTTCCTTCCTCCCTCCCTCCCTCCCGTCCCTCTTTATTTCTTGACAGGGCCTTGCTTTGTAGCCCAGGCTGGCTTTGAAATTGAAATGGTCCTGCCCCAGCCTCCCGAGTGCTGAGCTTTTAGGCATGTGCCACCACAAACAGCTCTGAAGCATAATTTCTGCCTCCTCTTCTCCTTAGGTTCAGATTCAGAACAAAAAAGTGGACATCTCCAAGGTCTCCTCCAAGTGTGGGTCCAAAGCTAACATTAAGCACAAACCTGGTGAGTGGTACCTCCTTCACCCACTAGGACTCCCCAGTCAGATGGTCCTGCTGTGAACCAGCTGGGCAGCCCTCTGAGGGGCAGGGGGGGGATGGAGGGTGGGGGGAGGTGGCCCAAACAATGTATACACATGTAAGTAAATGTAAAAATGACAAAAATAAAAGAAAAAATTTAAAAGTATATTGTATATTAAAGAACAGGGGAAAAACCAAAAAACTCAGAGCCACCTTCCTCCAGGGCATGAGGTAGAAACAACCAGTTTTCAATCCCTGTAGAGAAGGTGATCCCACTTAGAAGAAGAACAATTTGTAAAAGCTTCCATTTGCATAACTGTTTCTTTGGTGATTCTCATATCCTGTCTCCATCAATCTGTGTGCCTTGTGCCTAGCACTGTTGACCTAGGCCTAGGGGAGAGGTACATACTAGGCTGGGGACCTGGGTCAGCCTGTCAGATGAATATTCCAGGAGCTAATGCTGAATAAATGATGAAACGTCATGGTTCATCTGCCCCTGTAAAATCCAGGAGCAAAAGATACTCCCCAGCAGGGAGCAGCAATAAGGAGCTCTGACAGAGGAGGGGAAGGGGGTTCAGCAAGGTTGCCTGGCCCAAGGACGTGGATCCTGCAACTGCTGCAATGCCTTTTCCTTCTGTCAGCTTGGTTGACAGATGCCTCTGAGCAGAGCTTGGGTATTAGCCTTGGCTGTCACCTAACAGCCTCATGAATCCTGGTTCCTGGTCCATAGTGGACTTTGGGGGTAAGGAAGTCTTATTGTAGCAGTAGGCACACTGAGTAGCAGAGCTGACATCTCACAAGGTCAGCCACCCAGGCCAGTTACGATGAAGTCCCTACCTTCTCAGCAGAGTGAATCCATTTTAGTGTGTTCTGTTTTAGAAGATCAAAACAGTTTGGTCTACAATTAACCTTCATTATTTTTTTTATCTGAAAAAAATCATTTCTTGTGAGCTACTTCCTTTCCTAATGACACTTAAGTGATTTGAGGTCTAGTTTTTGCCAGGGCTAGCACTTCAATGGAGAGAACACCTGGAGAGTCTGGCAGGAAGCTGGATGTCAAGGTTTGCCTTGTGGGCTGAGCAGAGATGGAAGAGGGAGAGAAGGGCTCAAAGGGATGAAGCTCCTGAGTGTATCCCTCCCTGATCTTGTGTCTCAGTCTGGTCAGTGAACTCTGAGCCTTGTTTTGTGTACATATCATCTTCACTCCCACACAAGCCCCAGGGCTCTAGTTCCTGGGGCTAGGCTTGGTCCCTAACTACCCTTTCTCATCTTCCACTCCCAAGGCACTCTCCTTTTCACTGTTTCTTCTTTTTACTACAGAGCTTAGACAGGCGATATTCGTATCCTGTTCCTGTAGATTAAAGCAAATCACTTCTCTTTCCCAGCATCAGTTTTAGCAACTGTGAAAAGATCTTGACCCTAACAGAGCACTTATGAGAACTCAGAGGGACCGTGCCCACCCAACCCAGTTAGCTCAAGGGAGTAACCACCCCACCAAGAGAATCAGAAGCAGCTGGCACTTTAAAAGTTTCGCCCGCAAAGCGATAGGCTATAGCCTAAAATGATAGTGAGGACAGCCTTCCCTTCCCATGAAGGTGTTCCCATCGTCAGTGTCTTGGCCTCACTTTGATAAACATAGCCTTATTGTGACAAGTTTGTTCACTATGCCATCTCATTTGTCTTCAGATCTATACTGTAGCAGATCTCATTTTCCTTGTTTCTAGATGAAACACATAGCCAGTCCTTAAACAAGCTCAGGTTCCTGTTCCTGGCTCCTGACTTTGCCTGGAAGAGAATTTCTCTGGCACCCTCACTGACCAATTCCTTTTTGGTTCCAGGCGGAGGAGATGTCAAGATCGAAAGTCAAAAGTTGAACTTCAAGGAGAAGGCCCAGGCCAAGGTGGGATCCCTTGATAACGTGGGCCACCTCCCTGCAGGAGGAGCTGTGAAGGTACTGAGTGGGTAACCAAGGAGACACAGGTGGGGTGGTTTGGGGACTATGCAGCTGGGGTCAGGGACCTGGCAGGTAGGCACCTGTCACCGCCCCTCAGTCTCTTCAGGAGTCACATCTTCACCCACACCATTGCTGTTTTCCCATCATCCACCATCAGTCCTGAGTGAGGCAGGAGAGATGAAGAGCCCAAGCCTAGTCACCTGGCAGCTGGTGGCAGAACCTTGCTTCTGAGAGCGGTGACCTGCCTTATTGAGCCCATCCTAGGCATTTTCCAAGGGTCTCTGGCCTGGGCCACAGATCACAAAGCAAGCAAGAGTTCTGCACAACACCCAGTTCCCAACTGTCTTACTGAGACAGCTTACCAGATTTTTGTGTGTGTGTGTGTGGTATTTGGGTTGCAACCCAGGGCCACATGCATGCATGCATACTAGGCAAGCACTCTTACCACTGAGCTACACTCTAGCCAGTATACCACATTTTCATCTATCAGCAGCAGTAGATCTGCTGTGGCCTCAGGACTCTGCCTTTGGAGGGCCTGCTTGTGACTCACCATGCCCTGGGCTGTGGAGAGAGCCTGAGTGGCAGAGCTCCACACTGGCTGGGCCTCCACCCTTCCATCTTCTCTCCTCCCTCCCTCCTTCCACAGTAATGTGAGACCTTTTGTGTGCCAAGATACTGTTTGTCCTTCGTTCCATGTCATGGTTGGGTGGGGAGACCTGTGGGGGCAGCATCTTATAGTCTTACAGGACACGGCTGCTGCTTAGGACAAGGTGAGCAAGGGGACTGCCCCCAGAACAGGTGCTCTGGCCCTTCCCTGTGCATCTGCTCACCCAGTGCTGGACAGTTTCCAGCCTATCCTTTTGTCCCATCCTCTGATTCCAGCCCTGGTCAACTTGAGAAGACATTTTGGGGATCTTTGCTATCATAGTTTCTCAATTAATGCTCCCCACACCTTGTGAGGGTGCCATTCTTTAACCTGGCTCAATGGGACATTACAGGTTTGGTCTCTTGTTCAGTTGTCACGTGATACGTGCAGACCAGGTTTTCACACCTAGGCTTTTTTGATCCCAAGTCTCTTGTAGTCTTGTATTTTTTTTCTTCATTTTCATTACCTCCCTTTATTTATTTTATTTTATTTATTTACTTTTGCAGTACTGGGGTTTAAACTCAGGGCCTACTTGAGCCATTCCACCAGCTTTCTTTTGTGATGGCTTTTTTTGACATAGGGTCTTTCGAACTATTTGCCCAGGGCTGACTTCAAACCACAGTCCTCCTGATCTCTGCCTTTTGAATAGCTAGGATTAGCCACTGGCACCTGGCTTCTCTTTATTTCTTATTTTTTGTAATACACCAGTCTTGCACTATCCTGCCCAGCAATGGATAAAAAAAAACATTGAGAAGTCTCCATTGTTACTTATTGGGCATTCTGGGACCTGGGAGTTCTAACTCACAGAAGACCTTCTGCTGTTATACCCTCTTTTCTCCTTGACCCACGCTTCATGTTCACTGTCCTCCAAATATCCTCCTCTTGTAAAGCCCTCCAGGCCCTAAAGTCTTCCTGGATATCTTTTTGCCTCCTCTGTGTCCCTGGGCCTCAGAATGGCACCCAGTACAGAAGAAGCTGTAGTTTCAGGAGGACATTACCACATGAATGAGCAAGCATAGTACTCCATGAGTTTCCAAGGAACCCTCTTTGAGCATGTGCTGTATAGCATATGCTCTCAGAGGTAACAAGTAGCAATCCCCACTTCCCAGCAAACATCTTTAGCTTGCTCTTAAGGCTTATTGCTGTTTGTCACTATTTATTTATCATAGCCACTTTTTATTTGGTGAGGGCCGGCACTTCTTACCTCAGAAAAGTTTTCCAAAAATTTCCATGGCGGGGGGGGGGGGGCTCTCAGATATGTCACTCATCCAGCTGCTCCAGATCTTTGAGCATCTGTGTCCCAGGTGGGGTTGGGGTAAGGCATCCAGTTTAGATTCTCCAGGTGAGGGTTCATTGAGCCAGTGGATGCTGGGGCCATGGGTGGGGGGCTACATGTGAAACCCACCACCGTCACCCCATCCCACTCCCTCCCCAACTGATCCTGCACTGTCTCCCCCACTGTTTCATTGTAGACTGAGGGCGGTGGCAGCGAGGCCCCTCCGTGTCCAGGCTCCCCCGCTGGGGAGGAGCCGGCCATCTCTGAGGCAGCGCCTGAAGCTGGCGCCCCTACTTCAGCCAGTGGTCTCAGTGGCCACACCACCCTGTCAGGGGGTGGTGACCAAAGGGAGGCTCAGACCTTGGACAGCCAGATCCAGGAGACAAGTAAGTGGCTGGGCTTGGCCTGAGGACCAGCCAGGGGCCCTGCCACTGGCTGAAAATTGAAACTCCTTTGTTTTTTGACTAGAGTGTGGCCTAAATTTTAACAAAGTAACCTTTTATTTTCCAGGCATCTAATGATGACATTCTGGTCTCGTCTTCCGTCTCCCCTGTGTTCCCTCTCGTCTTCTCCATTACCCTTTCCCTTCCCTCCTCCCGTGTCACTGCAGATTGAGAGCTACAGGCTGACGTTCCGGGCAAATGCCAGGGCCCGCACCGACCATGGGGCTGACATTGTTTCCAGGCCTCCCCACTTCCCTGGCAGCCTAAGCTCGGGCTCCCGGGCCCTTGTCTCCCTTTCCCGGGCTGTCCACTAGACCTGTGAGCACTTGGGTGCTGGGAATCCCCCTAGGCTCCCTTCCCTCCTGTCCTGCGCTGTTCAGGGCAGCGGCAGTCCCCCCATGCCTCCTTCCACACCCTCCCAGAGCCCAGCTTCCGGCTTTGCTACTGTCCCATCGCTGCACCACTGCTCCCTGGAGAAGGTTAGGAGGAGAATGGAGTGGGTTAGAATCTTGTGGTCTCCTGGAAGGGAGATCTGAATTCCAACCTCCTCTTTGTTTGGTTCTTTTTGGGCCAAACCCAAAAGAAACTGACATATCCTCTCCTCTTCCCTTGATCAACCTGGTAGAAGAGTAGAAGTGGATTCCATGTGATGACTGGGCACTGACTGCATCCCCTAAAGCCTGCTAAGCTACTGCCGCTAATTCACCCAACAATGGCACTCACCATGCAAGTGGTGCCAGGCCCTCTTGCTGCCTCACCCCAAGTTAGTTAGGGGTCAGTGCTGCCAGTCCTGCTGCTTACCTATCTAGCTGCCATCACATTTTTCTTATTTTATTACCCATTTTTCCCCCTAATAACCTATGAATTGGTGGAGTAGTTGGCAGGTTAAAGCCATGTCTAAAAGAGAGTCCTCAGTAGGTGTTAAAAGGAAACAGGGAGGGGAGATTGTAAGGTGTTGGTGCTGCCCCTGCCTTGGGCAGCTTGAGGTCCTGGAGATGCTGTGAGTGGGGAAGCAAGGTATGGGGCTGCAGCTTCGTAAGCAGACATTATAAGGCTGGTCAGTGTGGACTGGTTATGTTGGCATTTTGTGTGTGTGCTGCTTTCTTTTCTAACCAAGAGGCTGGTTTTGGAGTCTGTCTCATTCCCTGGGATCCGGTGGTCAGCCATGCAATACAAAGCCAGGGCTGGAGAAACAGGAAAGGGCCATGGAGGTCAAAACTCTTCAGACCTCCACCTACAGGCCTAGGCACTCAAGCCCTCATACCCAGTGGAGGCTGAGAGGTCCAGAACTTGTGTGGATCGTGGGGAATCAGGTCTGGAAATTTAAAAAGGCCTGAGAGGCCTTCCCTTCTAGTCTGACTGGAGAGGAGTGGGAGATGCCAGCCTGTGAAGGGGTGGCCATCCCAGATAGTTCTGCTCATGGGATGGCTGCAGTGATGAGAAATCCCGGGAATTTTATTGACACAAAGATTCTTATTGCACTTGTATTTTTTGTATTAAAGTTGCATGGTTTCTAATAAAGGATTAAAACGTAAGTTTGTAGTGAAATGGCCTGGAGTTCCCAGGGGCTCCTCTGGAGGGGCATTTTCTGCTGAGCAGACTTGCCTCTTGGAGGCTGGCCCAGACTTGCCCTCCACCTCTGCTGTTGGCATCCCTTGGACCTGGAGAAGGTAGAAGGCTTCACTTTGTTCAGATCTGATCTCCACATGGAGGGCATCCGTAGGTCTGAAGGTCTTTCCCATTTCTGAAGCAGCAGTTTGTTTGGGGAGGTTTGATATTACACCCACAAACATGTACTAGGAAATTGTAGGGACCTCATGGAGAAAGCTCTCCCTGAACCAGGGTGCAGCTTTCTTCCCAGAATGGCTGCCAGATAATCTAACTACAGTACCAGGGCCTTAGACACCAGGTTTTGTCAGCAAGAGGAAGAGACAAGATGAAATTGGGCATAGTACCTATTACCCTCCTGGGGCTGCAAGTATGCTGATTGACATCAGGCCCTTTAGCTCCTTTGGCCAAGGGTTGGCGAGTTCTCTAGGTGGGCCATGTGGTTAGTGTTTTCAAGAATTGTTTGGTTCCAGCACCCTTCAAGGGTTCCACAAGCCAGAGAACCTGAGGTTGGCCTGACAGATGGGGACCACAGGCCCCTGTGTGATGTGTACTACTTTGCAGCCATTTGGGAGTGGGACAGTACTGTACTTTCCAATTTGCTCATGTCCTGGCCATTACCCATGTCTGTGATTCTGTTGTACTGATTTCAAGAGTAAATAAAGCTACCTGATGTCCCACCACGCAGGTCCTGCATTGCTTCTGTTATCTGTCCCCATATCCAGCTCATCCCTTTGCATTCAGGGACCTGGTTATTACCACTGGGCACTCAGTGCCCTGTACACTCACTGAGCTCAGAGTTTGTGGATGCAAGCCCTTGGTCAATATTTGCTGTTCAAGGATAGTGACCTTGTGTGGGCACCAACAGGAGCTGTTTGGCAATACTAGAGCTTGTTGGCAGCACTGGTGGCTCACTATTGGGAGAGGAAAGGTGATTTCAACTTGTGTCCCCTAAGACTTGTGCCACAGCCAGAGCTTACTCCACCCCCAGCAGTAATAAGCATCTCAGTCTCCCTTCTATACCTTCAACTCTTCCCCTTGATTTAGGAATTATATATGGTCCAGAGTGCTGAGGCTCTGAAAGAGGAGCCCCTAATGGATAGCAATGCTCACAAGGGATAAATAGAACTTTATTTTAAATAAACATTTGCACTCTGTACACAGCCCCAGCGGAAGAGGGGCTCAGTCATCAGCTGTCTTGCGCACATCAAAGCTGCCACAGGGTCCTCGCAGCAGCTCCGCCAGCAGCGCAAGCAGCTGCCCGTGCTCCTGCTGCACACTGAGGGGGAGTGCAGCCAGCTCACTGCGGAGGCTCCGCTCCACCATGCGGCCCAGGGCCCGCCGCAGCTCCCTCAGCAGCCGTACAGTTCGTGAGTCACCCTCCAGCCGCAGCAGGTCACTATCACTCAGTGAAATGGTGGCACGACGCCCATCGTCTGGAGGAAGGGAAAAAGACAGTGGGGAATAGATGGGAAGCCAGGCCCCCAAGGACATGAAACAGCTTTCACAACACTGGGTGCAAAAGGTCTGCAGGTACCCACCACGGATGTGGACGTCCCCATCAGTCAGGAGCAGCACAGCTAGTGGGTGCACCTGGGAGGAGTCCCGTACGAAGACGCTACCATTGGACTTGACAGCCATAAAATACGTTAGCCATCGGCTCCGTAACCGTGTGGCCTCCCTAGGGAACACAGAACTAGGTTGAAGCCACTCCCTGGGCCTTCACTGCCGCCCTGTGCAGTCCTACTTGCCCCCACCTGTTAATAGTTGACTTGTGCAGTAGGATGTTGCCAGATTTGGTCCTATATGTGACACTGTTGGGTTTGAACTTCCCTTGCCGGGTCACCTTGCCCTGCCTCACCTGCAGGGATGAGAAAAGGTTGGGTAGGGTTGAGCAAGAAGCTGGAAGATGGAGAAGGAAGCTGAGAGCTTGCAGCCCCCACTCTTGGAGAAAGCACCTGGATGAGGTTGGGGTAGAGGCCAGCCATTAGCACACCCTTCACCAGCTCCTCTTCCTCGCTGTACTCGTTGCACTGAGCAGAGGGTAGTGTGCAGTCCGAGGGCTTCCCCACCAGGAAAGCCTCATAAATGTTCTCTGAGAACTGTTTGATGAGCCCTGAAGAGGCAAAGTGCAGTGAACAGAAGCCCCAGCCACAAAGCTGGGGGATCAGAGGAGCCTTGGGTAGGAAAGACAGAAGGGGTCAAGAAACCAGGTGGGCTAACCATGGATGAAGCGCAGGCTGGGTGCATAGAGCAGGTTTTCCTCCAGGTAGTTCTCCCGGGAGGTTCTGTCCTGCCAACGCAGCACCTCCTCCCAGCCGGCCACAGCCCGCACAAAGGCCAGGTGGTCACTGCCACTGTCATGGCTCAACAGTGCCTTCACCTGGGAGAGAGAATGCACTAGGGTCACAGGAGGGGCTCAAAGTCCCCTCAGGAAAGTACATGGTGAAGGGCTGGACAAGACAGCCAGAAGGCTATAAAAAGGAACTGGGTCTGACCTTGTCCACCTCTGCCCTGTTCTGCAGGCTACTGCTGAAGGGGTCCCGGGTGAGACAGGAAACAACCACCAGCAGCGGGTGTAGGCAACGGAAGATGGCAGCCAGCACTATGGCCTTGGCTAGCCGGGGATCAGTGGAGATGTGGGCCAGGCGCTGCCCTAGGGTAGTCAGGTACTCCCGCTGGTCCAGCACACCTGCAACAGCTCAGCTGTCAGTCCCACCCATGAGCCATTCCATGGCCCAACCCCACAAGGCCTCCACTCACCAATCTCTTGGAGCAAGATCACGGCCTCATCTACTGCCTTGATGTTTGGACTGTCCACGGCCTTGGAGAGGAACTCCACTGCCTACAGCAAGAAGCCAGAGCCCCCCATGAGCCCATGTCCCACCTGCCTCTTCCAGAGGACAGCCCTTGCCCAGCCCTGCCTGTGCCGCACCGTCTTTTCAGGCATGTGGATTTTGGCTTGCAGCACCAGGTTCTCAAGAGGCGTGCGCAGGATCTCTGGCACTTGGAAAGGAACCATTTTCTCCAGCCGGCTCCGTGGGAACAAGTGGTAGGCAAAACCTGACTGGCAGCGGCCTGCCCGGCCCCGGCGCTGGATCACATTTGCTCTTGATACCCACACCGTCTCCAGGCAGGACACCTGGGGGAGGGGGCAGGTGAATAGCCACACAAGACAGCTGAAAGGGTCCAGTGAGGCAAGAAACAACCATCAGCAGTGGGCCTTAAGAGTTTCCCCACTTCTCAACCCCTCAATGCCACCCACAACAGGGACACAGATCCCACAAGCCTGGCCTTCTCAGCACAAATAGTAGGTCCCAGGCAGACTGGGAGTAGGGACCAACTCAGAACTGTAGACCTTTCCCCAGAGGCTCACTGGGCCCAAGAGAGAGGTGCCACCTTGGTCTTCAGGTCGTAGCGTTCCTCCTTGTGTAGCCCACTATCCACAACATGCACAATGTCATTGACTGTGATGGAGGTCTCAGCGATATTGGTGGCCAAGACAATCTTGCGCACTCCAGCCGGGGGCTGCTGGAATATGGCCTTCTGGTCCATCATGGGGATGTTGGAGTGCACTGGTGGGCAGCAATATGCAGAATGGTTATGGGCACTGATCTTACCAGAACACCTCTTGGGCTGAGAGCAGGTGCAGCTTGCTCAGAATCCTGCACCACTTGATTCCCATTTAGGTCAATCCCCACAAGAAAGGGCAATACTTGTTTCTGGGGCCCATCCCTCTACATACCCAGGCTCTCACCTGGTAGGATGAGGTACTTGCTCTCATGCATGCCCAGAGCCTCCTGGAGGCGTTGCTGCACTCCTTTGATCTCCTGCCAACCAGGCAGGAAGCACAGGATCCCACCTGTAAAGGAGCCCTGCATCGGTAAGCCAGATGCTCCAGCATGTGGGCACTGGACTACGAAAGGCTGGGCAGGGGAAGCACCCACCTGGTTCCCCACGGGCATCAATGTGCAGAACCAGATCAGTCACGAGGTCCAAATCAAGTGCGCATTCATCCTCAGACTAGGGTGGGGGAAGAGAGCCCCAGGGTGAGGGGTGGTGCACAGGACATGGTCACAGTGACACAAGTGATGCAGAGCCACTTGACATGTCAACTCCAACCCTAACATACTTTATACCCAGTTTTTATCAAGGAAACAGGCTTGGGAGGGCTTGTTTGGCTGCCAAACCACAGGGACGGGGAGGAGGCAATCCAGAAGAAAGGCCAGGAGCCCTGGGTGGGACGGAGTGGGATGTCTCTCACCTCATGGTGCCGGTGCCGGTGTGGGTACTGGTGTTTGCCCAGTTTGGCCAGGATGTCCTCCAGGTAGTGCTCTTTGACAGGATACATGAAACCAGGCACCTTGATGACAGGGCAGCCACCAAAGTAGCGGGAGAAGCGCTCATTATCACCTGTAGCACTCATGAGCACCAGACGCAGGGATGGGTTGAGTCGCTGCAGGCCCTTGAGCAGAATCAGCAGGAAGTCTGTGTTCACATCCCGCTCATGGACCTCGTCCACAATGACATGGCTGACACCCTCCAGGCTGGGGTTGCTCTGCAGCTTCCGCAGCAGGATGCCCACAGTGCAGAAGAGCAACGCTCCACCTCGGGCTGGGGGCTTGCTTTCCAAGCGCACCTGGAAGCCCACGTTCCGGCGCAAGGAAGGTCCCAGTTCATGGCTGACCCGCTGTGCCACAGACACAGCTGAGATGCGGCGAGGTTGGGTGATAATCACATTGCAGCGGGCACCCCGGCCCTCAGTCACATAGCGCTCCAGCAGCAGCTGGGGGATACGCGTGGTCTTCCCACAACCTGTGTCCCCAGAGATGACCACCACTGGATGCTGCTCAATAGCATTGAGGATAGTGTCCCGATGTGGGTCCACAGGTAGCTGCGGGGCCTCCTGCCAGATTGGCCCTCGCCGCCGCCACAGCTCTAGCAGGTTCTGGCTTAGGCGCACCTCCTCTGTTTCACACAGGGGCATATAGGGCTTGCCTGTGATAGGGTCACTCAGGGGCCCTGAGTCTTTGCCCAAGGGCAAGATGTCATCACTCTGCAACCGGAGTTCTGGAGAGATCCATGAACTGTCCACGGGGTACTATGAGATGAGGAGGCAAGCAAAATGGTGAAAGAAAAATACCATCTTTCTCCTTCATGCATGCAGTCAGCCCTCACTTGGGTCATATGTTAGGGCCCAACCCACAGAAGAGAGGACTGGGGCCATGACTGCCCTGAGACCCTCATGGTCTGCTTGAGGCAGGGGAAATGTTCTCAGGCTCCATCCTTAGTGGGAAAAAACAGGGAGTTATTACAGGTGGAGGCCTTCAGACTAGAGAAGATGGAGGCAGACAGATGGGGGAACTTGTGGGCCCTCTTACATGGTTCAGGAAGGTCTCTATCTTGCGGAGGATGGGCTCAGGCACCTGGATGGTACACGGCCGCCGCTGGGTCTCACCCAACTCACGCAAAGAAGCCAGGTTATACATGGCATGGGTAAGTGGCTCGTTGTTTCTGTCCACCAGGCCCAGGCTCTGTAGAGGGGACATGTATGGCATGGTCTATGTTCCTTGACCCAGACAGGCTCAGGAGCTCTAAGAGAGAGGATGTGCAAAGCAACCTCTTCTTTTTTCCTAAGAGATTTTGACATGAGAAAAATGTCAGTCTCTCCAAAATAGTAATTTAAAAAGTTAGCTAGTTAAAATTAATTCAAGAAGAACTAAGCCAACTGAGTGCAGGTGGCTCATGTCTGTAATCCTAGCTACTTGGGAGGCTGAGATCAAGACTCAAGGCCAGCCAAAGCAAATAGTTCATGAGACCCCCATCTCCAAACTAACCAGAGGAGCAAAATGGGATGGCGGTGTGGCTTAAGCGGTAAAGTGCCTGCTTTGCAAAATGTGAAGTCCTGAGCTCAAAACACAGTCTCATTAAAAAAAAAAAAAGCTAAACTGCCAGTGCCAGTGGCTCATGCCTATCCTAGCTACTCAGGAGGACTGAGGTTTGAGGCCAGCCCAGGCTAAAGGAAGATCCTATCTCAAAAAATACCCAACATAATAGGGCTCACCAGTGGCTCAAGTGGTAGAGCACTTGCCTAGCAAGTGTGAGGCCCTGAGTTCAAACCCTAGTACCGCCAAGAAAAAGAAGTGCTAAACCTACTGGGAACTTAGCTTAGTGGTAGAAAGTTTGCTTAGTATGTGCAAGGCCCTGGGTGCAATCTCCACTAACACGCACAGGCTAAACCTGACAGGTCATACTAGAATATGCCCAGCCCAGGCACGGTGCCCCTGAGGAGAAACCTCTTCCTATGCAATCTCATTCATTCAATTCATTGTACTGGGGTTTGAACTCAAGGCTTCATGTTGCTAGGCAGGCACTCTACCACTTGAGCCACTCTGCCAGCTCCCTGTGCAAGCTCATTTCCACAAGTTCTCAACACATACCTTGAGACCAGACAGGTCAGGCCCTTGATAACTCCACCACCCACAAGTCTACAGACTCTCCCCTGTGCTGCCTCACCAAAGCCTTCCCACCAAGTCCTTAGTTCCCACTGCCACCCCACCTCCTAGCCTTTACACGGCCTGTCCTGTGACCTCATCATACACAAGAAGTACACAGAACGTCATGTCAATGTAACTTGACAAACGATTTAAAGGAAAACACTGTATCTCGTTTCCTTAAACATTCCTACAGCCACCTCAAGAGATAAATCAACAATCTCACTCCTGAGGTACATGTAAAAGCAGACCTTTTCCTTAGCCTTGTTCCTATCATCTGTAATGCCTGCATTCCCCACTGGGCAAGCACTCCCCACTACACACCATCCCCTGCCTCCCACCTTACTGACACCATGAACTCTTAAGGACTTCATGAACAAGGATGAAGTCACTGGACCACGAGAGGTGCCAGCACCTTGTCTTGCTACAGGAAAGGACTTCCAATCTCTCAGGTCTGCATGGGTTTTACCCGGCAGCTTCTTATGGTGGTCATCCAGCTTCTCTCAACACTAGAAGACTGGAAGACTGCTCCTTTTCAAACAGCTTCTCCCACACAAGCAAGTTCTGCAGAGAGCGCTAATTCTGCTTTCTGAAGCCAGAGGCAGCAAGCACATCCATACACTCTTACATATCACCACCTACCTGCATCCCTATTACAGGTTCTCAGTGTCTCTCACCATCAGTTGGCTCTAAAATCAAATTCCTAGAGCCAAACTTAACCAAAGGTGGTATACCTGACCTCTCAAGAGTAAAGCAGAGGGCTGGGGATGTGGCTCAAGTGGTAAAGCACCTGCCTAGCAAGTGAGGGACCAAGTTCAAACCCCAGTACCTGAAGGAAAAAAAAAAAAGGAAAACAGAGTTTATCTCCTCTCATATTCTGCAAACTAAACCTCCACTGTCATGACTTCAGATGACTGATTCCTCGGTCAGGTGCAATGTTAAAATTTCACAACTGTGGCATCAGCTAACTCCAGAGCTGCTTCAATGGAACTGCCAGCTATAGACCACATTGTCATCACTTTGATGTCATTTTCTTCCTCAATCTTCATCCCAGACACACATCAGATTACTGGTTTGGCCATAAAGCCAGTTTAGCAGGATCTCACTAGACACAACTCTGCCTCTCAGGCACCACTCCTCCCAACTTTGTGCCCATCAGAATGGTGAGATCTCTTTCAAGCTTCACCTGGTTCTGGCCAAGTGCTGAAAAGGCTGAGCTTATAGACAAAGTACCTCCTCAGGGAGCTCTGGGAAAGTCATGGAAACAGCACCACAGATAAAAACAAGGCTGGGCCATGGGATCCTTTTGTGCCAGACCAAAGGCCTGGTGTGGTGAATTTTATTTCCTAGAAAAGTAGACCGATTTGCAACGAGCAGAGAGAAGCTCCAAGACAACCTCATGCATCATACCAGGGACATTCCTGAACTCACCTTCAGTTTCTTGCAGGCCAAGGCTGCCGCCTTATTCTCAGCCTCTGCTTTGCGGCGCCCTTTTGCAACAAAGGTCATGGGACAGGGCCAGAGCAGAGTAAGTGTAGACAACTTGGTCTTGGTGCCTACAGTATGGAACTGCATGAGGTTCTGCACAGAAAGTAAGCAAGAAGGTTACAAAAAGATGGAGTGAAAGGAGATTTCAGAGATGGAATTAGCGAGATCTTTGCAGGTGCCAAACACCAGACACACCAGAAGGGGCACTGTACAGCAGGTCTAATGCGTTTGAGGTACCCTACTCCTGGGCTTGCTTCTCCTGCTACACTCAACTTCTATAGCAGAAGCCGGTGTTTGGGCAATGCCACTGCCTCTAGCACCTTCAGGAAATCTGGGAGCTAAATCTGTCAGCATAAGCCAAAAACCAGGCACATCTTGGGGAGCAAAAAGGCTTACACCTGGAGAAGTCCTGCTTCCCCAACACTGCTTGACATGGTAACAATGATGAAATTCATACTTCAGCAAGAGAGCCACCCATACTCCCTACCCCTCCACTCTCAACCTGTGAACAGATTTGGGTTTTATACTCCACATTCCCCCGCCTGCATTCAATGCTCCTGTACTGTGCTTTCCTTTCTGTCTCTGCTGCTTCACCCTCTCCACCCCTCAAGGATCCTATGTCCCTCCAGCTAGTCTAGGAGTGAGCCAAGGGAACAGGTACCTGCAGCCCTCCCACACCCCTGTGGCTTCCCTCCTGCCTAGTCTTGGGAGGAGGCAGCCATGTACAAGTGAGCTGCTGAAGCTCACACTTCCAGGAGACCCAACTTACCTTAGCCGTGGAGGAGGACGTTGCAATCTGAATCACCTTGGCCAAAAGGTTCTTGGGAAGTGGGAACTGGGTCAGAGCCCTAACAGCACTGTCATCATCTGTCATTTCAAAGGAACCTCCCCTGGGAAGACCAAAAGTTTGAGTGAAAAAGTTTGCTCTCTTCCTGGGCCAAGAGCCTTGAGGCTCTGAGATTCCAGGGCAGGGACAGAGTTGGTGTGGCAGGTAGCCAGGAGGCATGAAAAGATGGGAAGCTGGGCTCTGTTGCTACACCTGTGCTCTCTCACAGTCACAACACAGAGCCCACACTCCCTCAGCTTTCCCTGAAAGAGAAGAGTAGAAGGCAGGAGCAGGCAGAGTGTTTGCTGAGCCCCTGCAGGACCAGGTGTGAACTACAGCAAGTTCATGCTGCTACTGCAGAAGCCCAGCCACAGCACAAGACCATAGCTGCCATAGTCCCTCACAAACAGGCAGACACACCAGTGAGTGACACAAAATGTCAGATGAAATATGAGGCAGAGCCTTCCCACCTTAGAAGGCTCAAGGGAAGATCCACCCATCCCATCAAGGTGCACCCAGCTTCCCCTGTATCCCTCTGCCACAGCTATACCTTGAGTCCCTGAGTGGGGTATGAGAGTCCTGCTGGGTCATGGACAGGAACTCAGTAACATCAATGGTCCCCTCTTCTAGCTCTTCCTCCTCATCCTCTTCTTCCTCTCGGCCCAAGGAGCGGGGAAGGCCAGGTCCTCCTGACCGAATGCTCTCAGGATTCAGCTGCCGCCAGGAATTGGGGGGCATGGTTGGTTCTGGGCGCCACCAGCTGTCAGCTGGAGAGCCAAAGCGATCAGCTAGCACTCGGTATTTGGCTGCGTCAAACAGCTCATTCCGGGGACCCAGTAGACCCCAGCCCTAAGGGGAAAATGACATTATGAAGATCATACCACATTCTGCTGTGAAGCCACACTTTTCCACTGTCTATATACCTTCGCCCCTCATCCAAAAATGGGAATAAATAAACACTTAAAAATATCCAGCTTTAAAAGAAAAAAAGCCTAGCTTTGGCCTGGCACCAACAACTTAGGAGGCTAAGATGTGGAGGATCATGGTTCAAAGCCAGCCCAGCCAAACAGTTTCTAAAACCTATCTCCAAAAATAATTTGAGTAACTAGGACTTGAACTATGACTCAAGCAGTAGAGAGCCTGCTTTGCAAGCATGAAGCCTTGAGTTCAAAATCCAGCCCCTCCCCAAAAAGAGCCTAACTTTGGCTGGACATGGTGATACACACCTGTAAATCCTCTGCTACTTGGAAAGCAGAGACAGGAGAATCATGGTTCCAGTCCAGCCTCACAAAAGTTAGCTCAAGATCCTACCTGGCTTTTTTGTTGTTTGTTTTCCCCCCAGTACTGGGGTTTGAAGTCAGGGCTTTGTGCTTGCTAGGCAGGTGCTCTACAGCTTGAGCCATGCCTCCAACCCTCGAGACCCTATCAATAAAAACAAACTTAAAGCAAAAGGACTGAAGAGATGGCTGAAGTGATCAATGCTTGCCTAGCAAGCTCAAGGCCCTTCGTTCAATCCCCAGTAGTGCAAAAGAAAAAAAAAAGCCTCACTTTGACAGATGAAAATGACAAGATAAATCCTAGTACCTCTCAAACAAAAATAATAAAACAAAAGGCAATAGGGCAACAGAAGATGCAGTCATATCTAGGAAGGTTCAGTAAGTACAGCAATTAGGAATTAAGTTGCCCACAAATCAAACTGATACAATTTGTAACAGAAGCACAGGATGCTATGTTGGAAATACATTCTACAGAAATAACTTGATAGGCTGGCAGAGTAGTTCAAATGGTAGAATTCTTGCCTTGCTAGTGCAAGGCCTTAAGTTCAACCCTCGGTACCACCAAAAAAAAAAAAACAAAAACACCAAAAAAACTTGGAATGTTTGAAGTCATTTATACAAAAATATTCAGTAAAATTAAAGGATATAAAATCAACAAATGAAAATAAGTTGCATTTCTCTTTATACAAGTAACAGTCTATCCAATAAACAAATCAAGAAAATAATACCATTTATGATAGCACTGGAAAGAAATACTTAGGAAGAAGTCTAACTCGAGGTGAAATCCATGCATATTGAATGCTATAAAACACTGATGAAAGAAATGGAAGATAAATACAGGATTAATGCAATTCCTAGCAAAATTCCAGTGGTATTTTTAAAAAAAGAAAAACAGAAAAAACAATTCTAAAATTCACATGGAGTCACATAAGCCTGAAACAGTCAAAATAATCATAGGAAAGAAAAATGAAGCTGGGTGCTGGTGGCTCACACCTGTAATTCTAGCTACTCATGAGGCAGAGATCAGGAGGATCTCGTTTGAAGTTAGCCCAGACAAATAGTTCAAGAGACCCTATCTCGAAAAAAATCTATCATGAAAAAGGGCTGGTAGAGTAGCTCAAGGTGTAGGCCCTGAGTTCAAACACTTGTACCACAAAAAAAAAAGTATGGTCTCAAATAAAAACAATCACACTGACCAGCACAGTAGAATACAAAGCCCAGAAATAAACTTAAGTCAAACAATATATATAGGGCACTAAGAAAAACACAACAGGAAAAGATAGTCTCTTCAATGAATGGTACAGGGGAAAACTGGATATCTACATGCAAGAGAATGCAATTCAACCCTCACCTTAGGTCATATGCAAAAATCAACTCAAAATCGATTAGACGTATACCTAAGGCATGAAACCACAAAACTTCAAAAACAAAAGTATGAGGGAAAAAGCTTCTTGACAATGACTTCTTGTATATTTCACCAGAAGCTCAGGTAAGGGCTGGAGATACGTAGCTCAAGAGAGCACTTGCCTAGCATGAGGGAGGCCATGAGTTCAATCACGACAAAACAAAGCAAGCAAGCTTGGGCAACAAAAGCAAAAACAAATTACTTATAGTTCTACTTGGACTGTATCAAACTAAGAAACTTCTGTACAGTAAATGAAACAATCCATTAAATGAAAACAGACCAGGAATTAGAAGAAAATATAGGGGAACAACGTATCTGATGAGAGATTAATATTCAAAATAAGTAAGGAATACATATCTGAATAGAAAAAATACAAATAACCCATTTTTTAAAAAGTGGGCAGAACTAGGGATCTTACAGCTCAGAGCAGAGCACTTGCTAAGCATGTGTAAGGTACTGGGCTTGGCACCAAAAAAGTATTTAAGCAAAAAATCTAAATAGACATTTTTTTTCTGAAAAAGACAAACTGCCAATGGGTATACAAAAAAGGTGGCCAGCATCACTCAGCATCAAATAGATGCAAATCAAAACCACAATAAGATATCACCTCACACCTGTGAGCACGGCTCTTATCAGAAGACAAAAAAGAACAGGTGTAGCTGGGCACCAGTGGCTCACATTTACAATCGTAGCTATTCAGGAGGCAGAGATCAGGAGAATCAAGGTTCGAAGCCAGACCCTATCTCGAAAATACCTAACACAAAAAGGGCTGGTGGAGTGGCTCAAGGTGTAGGCCCTGAGTTCAATTCTCTAGTACCACCATAATAAATAAATGATAGAAAAGAAGAAAGAAAAAAAAGGGCTGGCAGTGTCACATAAGGCCCTAAGTTTAAACCCCAGTACTGTCAAATAAATAAATAAGAAGAATGAAGAAAAAAGGAACCCATGTCTACTGCTAACGAAAATGTACATTAGTATAGTCACTAATGGGAAATACAGAGGTCCCTCAAAAGATTAAACACTGTATAGCAATATTGCTTCTGGGTAGAAAACCAATGAAATGAAATCAGCTCCTAATAGAGAAATCTACATTCTCATGTACACTGCAGCATTACTCAGTCTAATATGCACCTATAACCCCAGGATCTGAGAGGCTGGGGGCTGGGGCAGAAAGACTGCAAATTCAAGGCAACCCCAGACTGCATAGGAGACCTTCTCTTTAATAAAGGACTGGAGGTGTGGCTCAAGCAGTAGAACACCTGTTTTGCAAGCTTGAAACCTTGAGTTCAAATACCAGTCCCACCCAAAAAAAAAAAAAAAGCCGATGACCGCCCCACCATTTGCTAGAAGACATGCTGAAATGAGACACAGAAAGAAAACTATTACATGATCTCTCTTACGAGCACAATCTATAAAAATTCAAGTACATAAAAACAGAGGAGAAAAGGGATGAAGAGATGTAGATGAAAGGACACAAATTTACAGATAGGCAGGATGTCATGTAGAGTCATCCAGGGACTGAGAAAGATACCTGCCAGGCCCAAAGCCTTCTGGCACTCAAGCAGGGTGACTTACGCCCGACCACTGGGAGGCAACTATCATACTTCCATTACAAGGAAGAGAAGACTTTGTGGCCATGGGAAAAAATCCATATGAAATAACAGGAAAAGAAAACAGAAAACAAAATAGATATCCATCATGCTATATACAGAGTAATTTTTCATAAAAGGTACTCTGTAGTTTTTGAAACCAGAGAAGATAAGTAATGATGGTCAGATTATCAGGGAAGGAGATAACAAAGGAGGGAGGGAACCAAAAGTGGAGAGTGCTCAGACAAGTCAATGACTAAAGATTATTATCATGCTCACTTCGGCAGCACGTATACTAAAACTGGAATGATACAGAGAAGATTAGCATGGCCCTTGTGCAAGGATGACACATAAATTTGTGAAACATTCCATATTTAAAAAAGAAAAAAAAAGACCGTTATCAGTATCTACCAAGCTGTCCTGAAACCAAGAATCTACCAGAGCAAGAGTTTCCCAGGAGAGAGTTCTGCATGGCTTTCACCAGAGGAAGATCACCTTGAACAGCTGGCAGGCTGCAGCTGCAGCCTGACGCTCAGCGTCAATCTTCTTGCTGCCATAGCCTTCTACCTCCACACTCTTGGGCCACTTTATGTGCAGGGTGACTTTCTGGAAAGAGAAGAGAGAATCAGACAACTGGCCTCTCCAGAATACAAAACTGTTGCAAATCACAGGGACAATCGACAGCAACATGGCCCTCACAGAAGCAATGTGCTAGGCTCTGGGCTGAGAGTTCGGGACAGAACGCTAACCCCATCATTACTTCCTTATAAGACTCTAATCCTCTCACCCTCAATCCATTTGTTCCACAAGTTCTTTAGCTTCTTTAAGGTACCATGTTCTGGCCAGAGGGCATATTAGGACCCATCTTTATCTTTAAAAACATCTTCACTCAGAATGGTTTGCTTACATGCCTTTGTGGGACCCAGAATCTATATGGAAGACTGAGGCCGGGTGCTGGTGGCTCACTCCTGTAATCCTAGCTACTCAGGAGGCAGAGATCAGGAGGATCAAGGTTCAAAGCCAGCCCCAGGCAAATAAGTTCAGAAGACCCTACCTTGGAAAAAAACAACACAAAACAGGGCTGGTGGAGTGGCTCAAGTGGTAGAGCTCCTGCCTAGGAAGTGTGAGACCCTGAGTTCAAACCCCAGTACTGCCAAAAAAAAAAAGTAAAGAAAAACTTAGGATCTATAAGAATCCAGAATCATTATCCCCTCTAACCCCCTGGAGTCCTAAGTAGTCAACGACAAGAAAAAAACAGGGAGCAGTGTAACAGCCTGTCTTAGACAAGATGAAAACACTTCTCATCTTCCTTGTGCTCCCTCCCTTTCCCTAAATCAGGCATGTATATTTTCTGGCACTTCTTCAAACTTAGTTTTGTTCTGACATTCTCCGACGACCATTTTAATTATGGAAAACACTCCTTAACAAGAGACCTGAGGAGAAAAGGAAGCCAGTCTCCTCTGAGTCAGGACAGTGCTTCCCTAACCACCAGCAGACTTACCTTTTTCTTCGGTCCATTTGTGTGCACGTAAACTAGTTTGTCTTTTGCATGTGAGATGCCAAGGGCTCTTCCAATCACACTGTTGAGAAGGTTTTTAGGCTGTGGGAATTCTTTTAATAGGTCCCTAGAAGCTAAGAAAATAAGAACAAAAGCATTACAAGTTTTATTTTTCTTTAAAAAAAAAAAAAAAACTTCAAGAGATATGTATCAAAGAAACCCTGGGCAGGATTCTCAGGGTGTTGGCTTATGACTCCAAACCACCCAGGAACACCCTGGAAAAAGAGAAGAGAATGGGGCCACACTGACTTGCACGACCACCTTCTGAAGGGCCAAACACCCACACATCAAAAAAAGGAACCAGCCAGCATCCTCTTCCCAGCCAAGCTTCTGATTTCATACATCAGCTACAAAAGCCTGAATAGTCACTAAATCCCCCAAGTCTGATGTCTGAAAGAAGGCATGTAACAACAAAAAGTCCTCCACACATAATCAGGGACCCTCCTACAGTAAGACACACAAATGAGAGGACTGGTCCATGTAAGTCAGTGATGAGATCCAGATTCTAAATACCAAGCCTCAGCTCTCAACCACACCTGAACACTGCAAAAGACCACTCCAAAGCCATGGAAAGACTTCTACAGCAGAGACACAGGCATGAGCTATTCCTTTCCTGATTTCACTGGCAAAATGGTTAGAAGAGCCAGGCGCTGGTGGCTCACACCTGTAATCCTAGCTAGTAAGGAGGCAGAGATCAAGAGGATCTCAGTTCGAAGCCAAGCTGGGCAAATAGTTTGCGAGACCCTATCTCAAAAAAAAAAAAAAAAAAAAAAAAGGGAGGCGGGGGGAGGCTGGTGGAGTGGCTCAAGGAGGTGTAACCCCTGAGTTCAAGCCCCAATGCCACAAAAAAAAAAAAGGGGTGGATAGAAGGATGCATCAGCTACCATGAGGAATATCTCACTTCTTTCACTTCTTCTCTGCTTCAATCCTAGAGCAAAGAGCTGAGACATCCACCTAGAGGCAGCCTGTGTCAGACAAAGGGCTTAGGTGAACCACAAAGAGACCTACTGGGAGCAGCTAGTTACAAAAGGAAGTGCCAAAAGCACCAGAATGGCCCTTCAACAGATGCAATCAGAGACCCACAGAGGAGATGTGAGTGTGAGGGCCTTTTCATTTACCAACTGCTGCCTCTGGCATTATTATTCAACTTTAAGCAACTCTAAAATGGAACTTAGTAAGAGCTGTATACAACACATGTGCACTTGCTTCACCATAATCACCTGGGAAGTGATTTCACAGCACTGGACACCTTGTTCCCCATAGGGCACCTAAGAATGGTGGTGATGTTCCAGTAGGCTCTGTATTTTGAAAATGCTCTTTCAGGAGTTCTGATGTAACCCTGCTGCCAGGTTTGTAACTGTGTTTCCTTGGAAAAAACTCCTGTGTCAACTAGTTAGGAAAGAGTGTCCTGCCTGGCCCTGTCTTCTTCTAAATGCTATCTTACACAGAAATTAAGAATCAAATAGTTAATAAGCAGGAGCTAAGTAGACTTGGGGGGCTGGGGAAGTGATCCCAGAGAGACCCACAGATATGCACTGAGATGCCTTCCAGATCTTATAAGGCAGGTGAAAGCTAGCAAGCTCCTGCTACCTACTCTTGATGGGCAGGGATGTGCTCACCAGTTCCATTCCCTGCACTTCTCAGGAGGCACAAAGCTGCAGTCCAGCAGAAGAGTCACTCCATCTTTACTTGAGATTCTGAAATCCCATTTGGGCCTATTTCCCACAATGGTGAGGACCATAACCTTAATTTAATGCTCTAACCCCTGGCCACCTATCCTAGAAGTTGTACGTTTACCTGTTTTTGTTTTTTTTGCCCCCTACTCCCTAGAGGTCCCGCACTTCTCAACTATTCCTGCCAGGTGCAGGTGCTCTGAGGTGGGGGTGGGGATGGGAGGGAGGCGCTACGAAGGCCTGTGTCACGCTGAGCATTACAACATCACCGGGACGGGATCTACCTGCCAGGCCGGACCCATTCCGAGCTCCTAGCTTGTCATTCCCGGGAATCGAGGGCGTCGCAGCCCATCCGCCCTCCGCCACCGCCCTCACCGTTCACCATGCTTCCGTCGCCTTCCCTGGGCTCACCAGGAGCCACCTCTGACTCGGCCTCAGCGGCCTCTTTGGTGCCGTCGGGGCGGACGAAGCTTGATGAGAGGCCGCGCGACCGTCTCTGTCGCCCGGCAGCGCGGGGATCCGGCGGCCGCAGGCGCAGAGAGACGCCTACCGCCATCGCCATGAGCCTCCTGGCAGCCGCCATCGCGCTCCCGCCGGCCCCCGCGGCCCCAGAGCGGGATAGGGACCCGCAGAGCAGCCAGCCTAGCGCCGGGCTCCCCCTGCTGGCCGGAGGGATCCGACGCCGAGCAGAGTGTGACTGGGAAGGCGCAGCTCTGGCCTCCCGTACATCCAAACCCACAGATTAGGTTCTGGATTTCAAGTAGGAAAAGCGGGGTATAGTGCTAGGTCTCTGCTCAACGTGCATCCAAGGAAATGAACCAAGTTCCCTCCATTTACAATGGTCCTACCCATTGTAAATTCCTCTCACATGGAAGACCCCACTATGGAGTGTAAAAAACTGCTATACCGGGCACCCCCATCTCTTAATGGCTTACAAAGTAAACCTGCTAAAGAATCTGAAACCAGGGCAGGGTAAACCTCTTGAACATATGCAGACCAGATTTAATCCTCTTGGCTGGAAGCAAAGCTGAAAACACCTAACTTTGGACACAGTGCCAACAACTGAGCTCACATGGCAATGATAGTTCGATTCTATTCTTCCTAACTTGTTTGAAAATCAGATGTGATTCCATTTCCAAATTACTGTACCTGGATTTTATTCCTCTTCTGGTTGTTATGGTCGCGAGGAGCAGGGCTTTGGGTCTGTATGTTGTAGACAATGACAGCACAGAGAAAAGTCTCAAGGACTCAGTGCCTTGGAGGAAGGCCTTAGTCAACTGTTGGTAGTTCAGGTGGGGGTAAAATGGGCAGATAGGAAATTTGTTCGTTTTGTAATTTTAGATGAGAGTTCAATGGAAAGCTTGTTAAAGCACATTACAGAACTTTACCCTCAGCTTCTTACTCATTAGGTCTGGAACCACACTCTTTATTAAGCCTATGCAAAAAACATATTGGATATAAGTTGTAATACTTGGGCTTAGTCTCACTCAACTCTATCACTTGCCAACTGAGAATCTTGAGCAATTTCATCAACTGGAAAAGTTGTGATGTGACTGTGGTTAGGATCAAATAAGAATATCCTGAAGAAGGCTTTGCATAGTACTCTGCAAAGCAGAGACATCCCTGCACTTGGGCTGGGGACATGGCTCAAGTGGTACAGCACCTGCCTAGCAAGCATGAGGCCCTGAGTTCAAACACCAGTACTACCGAGAGAGAGAGAGAAAGAGAGAGAGAGAGAGAGAGAGAGAGAGAGAAGTTCTGAGATGACAGGGGACAGGTCCTTTACAGGACATACCCAAGTGGGGTCATACAGCTTCAACTTCATCCCCTCCATTTACTCCTCAGTGACTGTATATCAAGAAAGGGGCAAGAGGGAAGTTGGCTTTGGCAGCAATTATCTAACACAACAATTGTCACAAGGGGTCGCCACCATCTGTATCAGACACTCCCACCCAGATCAAATCATCCATATCAGAGCAGAACATTATTCTCTAAGGGCTCTGCATTTGACCACGTGGCTCATTAATTTGCCAAAAGCCTACGTATCCATCCAGCTGCAGGAATCGTCCTCAAGGACTGTTAACAGCTCAAATTCCCTCAAGAGAATCTGTACTTTTACCAAGCCAGGGAGCAGCAACAGTAGCTGAGAACAAACTTTACCAACTGTGGTGTCTGAAAGGTGAAGTAAACAAGAACCTAGACACAAAGACCCCCCACCTGGAAAGTGAACCTGGGACCTTCATGAAGCCCTCAGTACTGAACTCTGCTCAAACAATCACTTAACCTACGGCTGAAATGCCATGATTTCTTGGATTTGCTTCCAAAAGGGCAAAATGAACAAACACAAAGAATGATGGGCCATAAGTTGTTCACTGTTCAACCTGGTTGATAGTACAAGTATATGGGGGTTCATTATACCATCTTATTTATTTTAGAAAACATGTTAGAATAGACGTTTGAAATTTCATGTTTAAAAAGATTTTATTCAGACTGGCGGAGTGGCTCAAAGGGTAGAACATCTGCCTAACAAGCATGAGGCCCCGAGTTCAAACCCCAGTACCACAAAAAAAAAAAAAAAAAAAAAAAAAGATTATATTCTAATAACTGGAGTCACCTTGAGGAAATATTTCACCTCAACAAACTTCACTTGATTCTTATAAAATCAGGCCTCTCTTTAGACCAGCTCTCCTAGTGCTGTAATCTTTGCCCCATTGGTCCAGAACAGAGATTGGCAAAATATAGCCTAGAGACCAAATCCAGCCTACTGCCTGCTATTACAAAGCTTTAATGGAACACGGTTGTGCTTATTTGCTTGTGTATTATCTATGACTGCTTTCATGCTATAATGGCAGAGTTAAATCCAAAAGAAAGCACATGGCCTGCAAAATATATTTGCCATCTGATTCACAAAAAAAGTTTGCCAGGCTGGCAGAATGACTCAAGTGTAAGAGCACCTGCCTAGTGAGTGTGAGGCCCTGACCTCAAACCCCAATACCACACAAAAAAAAATAAAAATAAATTAAATTAAAAAAAAAAAAAAAGAAAAGAAAAGGAAGTCGGGCAACACCTATAATCCTAGCTACCCAGGAGGCAGAGATCAGGAGGATCTCGGTTTGAAGTCAGCCCAGGGCAAATAATTTGCGAGACCCTATCCTGAAAAAAACCCTTCACAAAAAAGGGCTGGTGGACTGGCTCAAGGTGTAAGCCCTGAGTTCAAATCCCAGCACCACAAAAAAAAAAAAAAAGTTTGCCAAGCTCAGGTGTGTGTGCCTCCCCACTCTTTCTCTCCTTAGGAAAGAAAAAGGTTTCTCCTTTGCTTGTGAAAAAGCAAGGAAGTTCTGAAAACAGAAAGGGTTTTACCAGCTCAGACAGTTCTGTCTGCTTCTGTATCAGTCATGGTATCTGGTACTTTAGGTGCTAAATAACATGGAATGAAAGTGCAAAGGATCTTAATACATAGGTGGATGTTTTAGGAACCAAAGGTTTAACCAAAAATTTTTTTTTTTGGTGGTACTGGGGTTTGAACTCAGGGCTTTGAGCTTACTAGGCAGGTGCTCTACCACTTGAGCCATGCTCCCAGCTCAGGGACCTAAACTTTAAAAGACCCCAAGGAAAAACAAGTGGAGGAAACTGAAGATAGTTCAGGCTTTGTGGCAGACCACAGAACTTTTGGAGAGAACAGGGGAAGGACCACCAGAAACCAGGCATCTCAGTCAACATACAGGAACTTACTCAGTTAGATACTTCATGTTTGATTTCAAACCTCAGTCCCACCAAGAAAAAAAAAGGAGTCACATTTGTATGAGGGAATGATGAACAGGAAGGAGCAGATTGTGGCTCCCAGAATCCCAATAGAGGGAAGTGTCACCGAAGTCTCAGATCTGGGTAGGCAGGGAAAATGAACAGGGGACACACAGAAGTGGATTCTTGATTTATTCACTATGATTTTGGAAGGAGGCCCTGGAAGAGGTTGGTGGTAGAGTAGGGGGTAGATTGGGAAAGGAAGTGATCTTTTTTTTCCAGTTCCAAATCTGACTATGATGGACTCGATGTACAATGTAAGTGGGCACCATTCCAAGGACCGTTTTCCTTACTTGAACACTAGAGAGACTATTTCCACCACACACCTTCTTAGGGGCAAAAAGAACCTAGGGAATTAAAAAAATGTCATTGCCACATGTGGTACCATGAGTTTGTAATCCCAGCTACTCAAGAAGCTAAGGCAGGAGGATCACTTGAGCCCAGGAGTTCAAAGCCAGTCTGGACCCCATAGTCTCAAAAACAAAAAAAAAAAGAAAGCAATGGCAGAAAGGCCTATCATATGCAGGATAAGATTTATGTTGCTTCTACTTAGGAGAAACAGAAAGCCAAGAAGCACACCCCATGCCTTATGGAGTCACAGCTATAAGGAGAGACACTTGGGCCCAAGGGCCCATACTCCTCTGGCAAAGGGAGCATGCAGCACCTATGGGCCTCCCCACAGGGCAGCTACCCATGCCACGAGCACATCATGCTCCTCAGCACCTGCTCAAGGAGGCACTAGCCTAGTTACTACCATGATTAATCCCAACTAATCATCTTCAAGCTTAGCCAAAAGCACATCTCACACTCTCAGAGCCACTCACCTGCCATGTTGGAAATGTTAACGTTCAGCCTTTTCGAGTTACAGGGCATTTTAAGAAAAGAAAAAAAAAAAAAAAAAAGGGCAATCAACTCTTGATTTGGCAATGGTAGGGGATGGCATTTCTTTAAAACCTAAGTTAAGTGATCAGAGGGGCTAGAAGTACATATTTCTACTACACTGCTGGCGGCGGTAGTCAAGGCCACTGCAGCAGGACGGCAGTGCACTGGAAACTGCCTAGAAAGATGGCAGTAGCAGATGCCACAGAAACTGAGGTGGTCTGTGCTCCCGGTAATGTTCCTAAGCTCTTAACCTTCAAAGCACTTTACAGACAGACCGTAGGGTAGAGTAGACAGGCTGTCTCCAGAAGAGGCAAAGATTCTATGATCTAAAATAGCGCTCTTTCTGCTAAGCAGAGGGATATAAACAGGCAGAAAAGAACAGCTGGCAAGACAAAAGGCCACAAGGGCACTGGCCTTGGCAGACTTAGAAAAGATCTAAGTCTGAGGAAAGAGGAAAGATGCTTACACACAGAAAGGTTTCCCTGAGTCCTATTACTGGCCTTGGTCCTGGATACAGTGGTACCTGAAGTGAGCTGTCACTAATCTCAGTTCTCTAACATTCTCTATCAAAAGGATAGTCCACCTTGCCAAAGGACTGACAGGCAGATTTTAATGTCAGTAAAGTGCTTTGAGGTGCTGGGGGGAGATTGGGAAGTAATTTACAGGGCATCCCCAAAGGATCCAAGGTGAAGGACCCTGGGCTGAATCGGGGCTCTCTGTTCTGGCCCTGCTACAAGTACCTGCCCTCTCTGAGCCACTACAGCCAGGGACTTCCTAGAAGCCTAGAAGTTCTTCATACTGGAACTGAATACATACCTAGACTGAGTAGTCTCAGGCTTTATTCCAGGCCACACAAGTAGCCTAAGGAGAATATAGGGTCCAAGTCATGTAACCAAGGATTGTGAAAAACCCAGAGCTTTCCATCTCTGTTAAGCCCACCCCTCCTCACACACGTTCTGAAGGCCCATGGCCCTGATACCAGGGCTCCCACTGCCACCCACCTCCCCAAAGACACTGGACCAAGCTGTTGCTGGAGGCAAGGCTCCACCCTTACCTCGAGAGATGGTCCCTCCAGGGGCAGGATTGACACACATGGGTGGAAGGCGGGGTGGGGGAAGTTTGCACTGACGTTGCCTGTGCTGGGCCCGATCTGGGGAAAGAGAGAGGGTATCAGGGCGATGTGTTCTCACCCTTCATGTTACAGATCTCTAACTGACTCACCCCAGAGCATCCATGAGGAGCTCTAGGCAGCAGGGATGCTGGGTGGTATTGGGAGTCAGTCATAGGTTCTAAGGAGCAGTGGCAGCAATACCACATAGAAAAAGAGCAATTGTCTTCTACAGGTATAATTCTTGACAATTCCTGTTCCCTCAGCTATCCTCTATGAGTTTAACATGCATCCTATATGCTTCTGTATAGTCTTCTGAATTATGAAAACAAGCTAGTGCAACTAAAATTAGGATATTCCTTTGAGTCTTCCATGGGAAGGTACAAAATGCATGCGTTAAAGAAGGCCTAAGCATCATTCTCATTCTCTCTCTAGAGAAGACAGGCTTTCCAGTGTATTCCTTTCCTAGTAAACTTTACTATCACTTTCACTATGACAACAACAAAAAAAAGGAAGAAAGAAAAAAGAAGTCCTAAGGTCTTTTAAACCACCAAAATGCTGAATGTATCAGAGATACTGGGTATGGTGGGAGACACCTCTAATCCCAGCACTCAGGAGGCTGAGGCAGGAGTTCAGCCAGTTCAATGCCAGCCTGATGAAAGAGAAACAAGAGAGAGAAACAGAGATAATGAGAGAAAGAGAGAGAGAGAAACAGAGAGACAGAGAGAGAGAGAAGAAAATAGCAAGAGAATCACTAGTGTGGACAGAAAAGATGCATGAGCTCTTTGCTCCTTTTGCCTCAATGGTTTCAATATACTATTATGAGATAGGAGAGGAACAGGGAGAGACCGCCATACACAGGACACTTGAGAAACCAAATGTTTTGCTACAACATTACCCACTTTAAGCGGGGTGCTGGTGGCTCATGCCTGTAATCCTAGCAACTCAGGAGGCAGAGATCAGGAGGATTGCAGTTCGAAGCCAGCTTGGGCAAACAGTTCGCGAGATCCTATCTCAAAAAAACCCACCACAAAAAAAGGGCCGGTGGAATGGCTCAAGTTCAAATCCCAGGACCAAAACAACAGCAGTAACAACTTTTTTTTGGAGGGGAGAATGGTACTGGGGTTTGAACTCGGGGCCTCACACTTGCTAGGCAGGCACTTAACCACTTTAACTACTCCACCAGTCCTGTTTTGTGTTTGGTATTTTTGAGATAGGGTCTGGCAAACTGTTTGCCCAGGTTGGTTTTGAAGCACTATCCTCCTGCTGTCTGCATCTGGAGTAACTAGGATTTACAGGTGTAAGCTACCTGTGCCAGGCTAATGATGCCCACTTTAAAATGTAAATTGGCTCACATACAGTTGATAAGTAAAGAAATGATAGGAGTAAAATATACAAACTCTTGGTTCTAATGTGATTTTTCTAAGGCAAGGGAATGAAAAAGGCAGAATTATAATCTTCAGGAAAAGAAGAACCCTTTCAGCTAAATATATACAAATATCTATAGCTATCTGTCTAGATAGATGAATATTTTGCTGTTGTTGTTATTAGTACTGGGGTTTGAACTCAGGGCCTTGTACTTGGTAGGCAAGTGTTCTCCTATTTGAGCCATGCCTCCAGCCCATATTTTATTTTTTTGCACTACAACTGAGTGCCTACAGAGAATCAATGTAGTAGCCACAGAGTGTTAACTATACAATTTCTTCAAATTTCAGTTTGGGAAAATTTTCTTAATGAAATGTAAGATAAAACAGGGTGGGGTGGGGAAGTAAGAACCTGCACTCCCAGCTGTAGATGCTCCTTCCCAGCAGTCCCACAGGCTCAGAGCTCCACGTCTACCTGCACTACCAGCCCTGTTCTCATCAGAATATTCTTGGTATATTTTTAGCATAGTGCTGCACTTCCTGCACGTGGTTCAAAGCATTCCCAGGTACCAATAATTATTTTTATTTTTCTCATACTCTGTTCATAAAGTTGCAGTTGTGCCAGGCCCAGGTGGCTCACGCCTATAATCCTAGCTACTTAAGAGGAAGAAATGAGGAGGATCAAAGTTTGAAGCCAGCCCAGATAAATAGTTGGAGAGACCCTATCTCGAAAAAACCCATCACAAAAAAGGGCTGGTGGAGTAGCTCAAGGTATAGGCCCTGAGTTTAAGCCCCAGGGGGGAAAAAAAAAGATGTAATAGGTGCATACTTTTTTAGGAAGCATATATAGTGATGAGTTGGGATTGTAGTGGTAGAGTTGCTTACCTAGCATGCATGAGGCCTGCGTTTGATCCCAGCAGGGGGGAAAAAGAAAGAAAGAGACAGAGACAAAAAGAAGGGAGGAGGGAGAGAGAGAAAGAGGAAGCAAGGGGAGAAAGGGGAAGAGGGGAGAAAGAAAAGAAAAAGATCGAGAGAAAGAAAGAAAGGAAAGGAAAGAAAAGAAGACTTACAGGGCTGGACGTGCGGCTCAAGAGATAGAGCACCTGCCTAGCAAGCATGAGGCCCTGAGTTCACACTCCAGTACTGTCAAAAAAACCCCACATATATATACATACACACACACACATATATGTATAAATACATAAATATATATGTATTCATATGTATATATACACATATATATATTTATATATTGTGTGTAGTGTTATGGAAGAAATGCCTGTAGGATCTTCTGGAACTCAGTGCCTAGGATAAAG